GATTTAATATTTTGTTATAGTTTAAATAAATGTATGTGAGAGAAAAAATGATTGAGAAAGAGAAAGGTGAGAGAAAAAGTGATTAATTGATGTGTAGGAAAGAAAAAGTGATTTTGAAATTTTTTTCCAAAAATTTGAACCAAACAAAATTTTAAATGAATAATGCTAGGATCATGAAGAAAATATCATGAAAATGATCATGAAAACTTCTTCACCGTTAGATTACACATACAATAAAACACCACACACTAATTAAACGATAAAATTTTTTATGAAACATTTCATGATATTTTTTTTCATAATCCCTAATATTGTTCATTTTGAAAACTTTTCTAAAAAATTATTTCCCCATGTGTTTGTCTCAATAAGATGGAGAGTGGTCTTAACGCGCTGTAGAAGCACGTATATCCAAATGGAGCTTTCAAGACTCTCTCTCTCTCTGTCTCTCTCCGAAGACGTGGCCATCTCTCCATTTCTAGTTTAGGCCTCAAATGCACCACACACACGCACACGACTACTCTCTCTCTCTTCGTCTCTTCGTATTTTATTGGGACAATTACAAAATTTTTTATTTTATTTTAATTTCAGTTTTTTAAATAAATTTTAAATTATATCCATTTAAGTCTTAATATCTTGATTTGTTTTTTAATTTAAATATTTACCTAATCTTTTAAGTTTATGACTAAAATATTATTTTTCTGTTAATAACTAAAACATATTTTTTCATTGAGTTTAATGATTAAAATATTATTTTTCTACTTATTTTATTTAAGAGAAATAGATAAATAATTTATATTGAAAACAAATTAAAAATTAAAAATTTATATTGACAAAATTCAAACTTCAAGATTTATTTTATTATGAGCATTGCACTTTTAGAAATTTTTTGTAATTTTATTTTTTGAGTAAATTACAAATACATTTCTTAAAATTTTCTTAAAATGTGAATTGTCACCTATAATTTGAGAAATTATATTATGTCTTTTTAAATTTCTAATTACATAACAAATAACCTCATTTATTAATAAGTCATCAAGTCAAATTAACAATTTTTTATAATATCATAAATATACTTTAATTAACAATTCTAATAATTTTATTATTGTATAGAAGAGTAGTTAAAAATTTATTTTTTTCTGTTAATCCTATTAAATAAAATTTTTTGACAATAGAATATTTGTCATTTTTAAAACTACATGAGACAATTCGTATCCTCATGGTGTAATTATAATTTACTCTTTTTTTTTTTTACAGAAATGATATAAACCCCCTTTTTTGATCCCCACAACCCTCACAGACATACGTCATGGGAAAAAAAAAAAAAAAACCAAACAAACAAACAAACAAAAAGAAAAAGTTAGCCAATCACAATGCAATGGGGTGGTGAGAGTTTCCCAAGAAAAGATCCCAACCTTTTTCCTTTTTTTTTAACTAAAAAAAAGGAGGTTTAAACCAAGGGTAATATTGTGTACCACATATAAGTTATGATATTGGTAGATTTGATTGTCACAAATGTCATAACTTAATCATATAAAAATCATAACTAAAAAAATAATAATTATAACCAAACACTACTTAAAGTATATAACCAAAGAATTCTTTGATTATTTATAAAAAATAAAGATAAAAAGAATTCTTGAATCATAATTAAAATAATGTTATAATTAATATCACAATAAATTATAACTAATACCACAATAAATCATAATAAAAAACTATAAGAATCATAATAAAAAATGCATATGACAGATAGAATTTCCCTTCAACAAATATCTGAAATCAAATATGTCAATCATGCATTCATAGGATTGTATTATGAAGTGGTGATCCGAAGCTTAAGCATGTGATGTTGTTTTTGAAGTGTTGATGTGATCAATGAGCAACTGATGTGAGAATTCGAATTGATTGTGTCACTCATTCAAGATCTTAAATCAAGCTCTAATGTTGATTGCAATGTCACAACCATCAGTGAGGACATTAAAGATATGCAAATTGAAAATTTATTAAATTTCATATTATCATATGACATTATATATGTAATATATTTATGTAGCAAATGAAAAATTACAATACACATTGAGATATCACTTGTTTTTTAATTACTTAACAAAAGTGACTCACCATCTCTGTTAAATTTTTTCGTTATGTGATTGATTTTGAACACCACATAAATAATGTCACTTGATACTCTGAAAGTATTAAATAATTACTATGTAATTATGGTCCAATTGATGTTGGTTAGTACTAGTAGTCATTGTAGTGTTTAGTTGCCAAATCTAATTTCTCTGTCATGATTTTTCTATAATAATCTTATTGCACTTTTTGTTACAACACGATACCTCAATAAAGTACATAATCCAACGGTTCAAATTCAAATTGAATCACAACCTAAAACAACTTAATTTTGTTTTAATGGTAAACATAGACGGTCAAATTACTACAAGAAGACCATTATAGATAATCCTCATCCTTAATTACCAAGCCATTGTAACGATATGACCATCAAATTATCTAACCAAAGATAATTACAACTTATTTTAATGCGTAATCTCATAATAGTATTGGTTACAACCCATTGTAATAATTTTAGTTACAATCAAAATGATATTCAATTATACCCTAAAGTAGTGTTGACCATGACTCAATTTAACTATAATCAAAGACACGGATTCATTTTTTAAAAAACTAACTATTGAAAATAAAAGTGCACGTCATACATACTAGCTAAGTTTGGCATCCTTTGAAAAAGTCAAAAAGTCACTATCCTATTTAAGTCACATTACTTCTCTATCACATCACTTCAAACCCAACCCATATTTTATAAAAAAGTCAAAAAATACACTTATTTAGAACATCCCAAACAACCCCTAAAGTATGTGGGAACAATGTACAAGCAATCCATAAGTTGGGTCAAGATGCACTAAGGGTGGCTTATTTTGTATTTTGGGTTGTGATATTTATTGTTAGAAAATGCTAATCATCGCTCAATAAGTGATCATTAACCTCAATGTACATGCAAAAAATATATAAAATTTGTATTGAAATTTTAACCTTTTTTGGCTCCCCCTTATCTTTTCTCTATTATACAATCTTTTAAACATTCATCCAAATTTATGACCAACCTTTCTTTCAATCATCTTCCACATGGAGAGATCTTTTAATTCAAAATTCATATAAAACAATCAATGATTTCTTATAATATCAGACAATCAATTAAAGTAAGTTCTTTCATGTCAAAAATCCATATTTCGATTTCATCTCAATATGAATGAACAAGCAAAACTACATGACAAGGAATGGAACGAAAAAAGAAAAAGAAAAAAGAGTCATACAAGCAAATAAATCTCGCAAACTACACTAATTTGCAAGTATGATACGCAGTAATAAAACTTAGATATTTGAAATAGGATTTGCTAAAATAACATAATAAGAGCAACTCAACTATCACATATGTGACATGTCAATCGAAATATGACACCAAGGTTAAAAGTACACTAAATACGGATATTAATACATGAAAAATGAAATTATGCCAAAGCATCATTTTCTTTAGAAGCAACAAAGTCTACTTGATATTGATAAATAACCAATGAGGCGGGATTTAAAACCAATAGAATCTAAGATATCCTAAGATTGAACATTGGAAGATTCAATACTGTAACCTTCAGTCATTGGTTCTCACCCAAGGTTTTAAATCTAGGGGATAAGATTAAATTGCTAGTGGTCCCCTTTTTCAACTTGAATGGTTTGCTTTCCTTTTCAAGAGAAATGGAATCATAGAAAAACATTATAATAGAAATCTTCAATAATTAAGATATCCAAGGCTCAAAATATTTTGAAAAAACTGTATTTCATTCCTTGTGCTTTGAGTCATGTACAGTTTATTCCCTAACGTTTAGAAATAATTACATGACCCTCTTGTGGTTTGTGGATTGAAATGCACTGTTAGACCCGTTAACGATTTAATGAAAAAGACTAAATATTCTCGTATTTTCGTCATTTATTTGGAAAGCAAAGTATATTTTAACCCCCCTATGTTTTATTCCATATGCGAATTACCTCAAAATTTAAAAATAAGCATATAACCCCCTTAGTCTGCCACGTGTTTTACACTTGATGTTAAGTTAGATAGAATGTTTAACGGTGCATTTTAGTCCATACACCACGTGAGAGTTATGCAGTCATTTTCAAACATTATAGAGATAAACTGCACATGACCAAATCCTAGGAGGTAAAAGCGAAGTTTGCCCAAATATTTTCTATTATGGTAGAACGCTTGATAATTCTATCGAAATGCTCATTGATGTAAAGGGAAAAGGGAAGGGAGAGGAAGAAGAAGGCCACAACAACCTTACACTTGATATCAATGATCCAAAACTCACTATTACAATGCATAGACCTATTATTTATAGGGTTAAAAACCCTAATTCAATCTAGGAAACTAAATACTAATATTATTGGACAATTAACCCCTACTTAAACAAGAAACTAAACCAGTGTGAGATGTTAGTTAAACTATAAATAATATCTCCAACCAAAATCGATGTGTACCACATCACTATTACTATTATTTAGCTAGGATTGAAAATAAATAAAATAATAAATATGTAAAATATATAATTATAAATAAAGTCTCCACAAGCATGCATGAACGTTCCGCATCACACAACCCTCATGATCAATCCAAGGTCCCATAGAGGAACCATAGTACTGAACTTTCTTTGCTACACAGACTCTGGCTCGGCTCCCTCATAAAGTATAAATGCTCTATTCTATGGATCTGATAAACAAGAAGCATATTGCATATTGAACTTTTTATTGACACCAGCTACCAGCCCAGTTTGGTGGAGCTTTTTTTAAGTTAAAAGCTAATAATCAGAAAGCAAAAGCTAAAAGCACCCCTACCCGAACTTCCAAATAATCAGTTTTTTTCAGCTGCTTTAAGCTATTTTTGCCTAATAAGTTATAAGCAAAAACCGCACCAAATAGTCAGGCACAGTCTCCCAAATCAAAATTAGCTATAATCACCCCCAAAAGCTGTAACAAATAGTCCCACTATACTGGCACAAATTTTGTTTTAAAAATGACAGTTGTAGAGACAAATAAAGTGATGTCATGCTTAGGTAATGAAATACTTCAAAAAAAAAAATGATAACTAAAGATATTGCCAGAAATCAAAAACAAAGTTGAGAGGTAACACAAACTAGTGGGAGGCTTGACTCCAAGTTATGCAACAGAATGATAGCCTCAACAGCTTTAGCATTAAGGAAAATGAATGAGCCTTCAATTTCCCTTAGAAAGAGAAAAACACAAGTCCACCATGAGTTCTGAATCATCCTTTTCCAGACTTTTTTCAAACCATCAGAGGTTAAAATGTGAAAACAAGAATGTTATTGTTACCTCCACGGACTTGTTGGAAGGGCAGTTCAATGTAGATCATGATTCTTTCTGCCTTTGGTTTCCTGAAGAGAGAGAAATAATGAAATCTTTTAATAATAAAATGCACCGTCAAAGATTCCATTAAAGTAAACATCAAGTGTGAAACACATGGCTGGATACAAGGGGGCTATGTGCTAGGCAATAAACCGCAAGTCGAGCAAAGCACGAGGGGGTACAAGTGCAATTTAAGTAGCGAAAATGCTTGTAGTTTACACAATAAGGTTACTTACGTGTAACGGTATTTTAGTCTTTTCACTTGAGCCATTAATGGTACAGAGGATGCCCTCTAGTCCACAAACAACAAGGACGGGGATACGTGCTGATTTTTAAATTTCAGAGGGGTAAATTGCATATGGAGTAAACCACAGGAGATGAAGTTAAATTTGCCCAAGAAAAAATTACTGACCTAGAATGAGAATTATGCCTGAAAATCTGATAACTCCCAACTAGAGGACAGAATAAGTCTGAAATTATTGCAAAACACATGGTGCCTTTCATGTCTTTCAGCAGCACAAGAAACCCCTCATTGCCATGACCCATCTGATTTCCATCCATACTTTGTTAATAAGGTAACAAAATGTACTTCAAGTACTTTTGTAGGATGACGACAAAGACTGCTTTTTTGTTTTGAATATCATCTGGGTGAAGTGGAAGAAATGAATCTGACTTGCGCAAGAGGATGACCGGGAAGTTTTGTCCGTTCACCACTTCCTTGTAAAAGAGCTGCTCTCTGAGGGTTCAAAAGCAGACTCTGCTGTACGTCCTTGGGAAGAATATTGAACACTGTTTCCAGATCTCCCTTGAGTTTCTGCCAAGCTGCTGCTGAGTCTGAAATAGCCTTTCCGGACTGTTGCAGCAAAAGATTTATTTAATTGAAGTCTAAACTCTACGGTACAAGTTGTTGGTTTACATGAAAAAAAGAAAAAAGAAAAAAAATTGTGATTGTTGTCCGGTTTGCTTAAACTAATTTTAAAAAAAAATGTGATTGTTGGACGACCAGGAATGGGAAACTTTTTTCTTTTTTCCCCCTATTTTCAATGACAGAATAGGAAACAGGTGGCTTTACAGTACTCCAACCCTCCAAATCCATTCCACCAGCATCTATCGAAACATAACTTTGACTGGTGAATAAACTGGTGAACTGTATGAACCATCAATGATCTAAAGCAACCAAACTGATCTTCCATTGTATTAAAACACCCAAAATATTTTCATCCTAATCTTTTACTGAAGCCACCCTAGAATTATGTGAAGCCATGCTGCATTCAATTCATAAGCAAGAGAGCAATAGATTTCTCACAAGGCCAACTTTTGCTCTAGGAAACAGCCATGAACACCACAGTTGGGGCATATTTCAGTGATAATATGGATTCTGTGTGTGTACCCTAGCCCATTCTCCAAGTAACCAAGTCTCATGTGAGACAACTAGATGGACCTCAAAAGGTTCTGCCGAGGAACTGAGGGACCTTCTCGGGCACATCATAGGTAATTGGGGAATAGAGCTAGCCCATTTGTTATGGGGAATCAATTATCTTGGCCGAATAGGGTTACCTATGGCACTTGGCTTCTCTGAAGTCATTGGGGAATAGAGCTACCCTTTGAAGTCATTCACTACTCCATTAATCATGATAATCCCCACCACAAAGCAAGACCACAAGGCAATGCAAAAACAAATGACTAATACTCTCCTCATCCGCCTACACTACACATGCTGCACCACTGTGGATGTAAATAATAATAAATAATAATTAGATCTCCTAAAATGAAACATGTCATTGGTATTGAGCTTCCTATGAACCGTAGTCCATGCAAATAGGGCAGTGTTTTAAAAAGCTCTAGGCGCATTGAGGCTCTAAGGTCTCCTGCAGCTTAAGTGTGAGGTGCGTGGCGCAAGACGAGCGGCGCGCCTCACCGAAGCGAGGCACAAATTGTTGAAGATAACCAAAATATCAATATAGGCGGAATTTTTAACATAAAACAAATATTCTTAGATTTTCAAAAAAAAAAGAAAAAAAAGAATGACATTCAATATTCCAAAAATCATGAAAAATAACATTCAATCTTACTTTGCCCTATACTATTTATTTTTCTTTATCAATTTATTAACGTGATTCATTTTTTTCTTAGATAAGGAACTCACACCATACCTTCCTTATTGGTTTTAATTTTAAATCGGGATCAAATTGCCTAATAGCTTGAATAAGTGACCTGGAACTATTGTAATTTACTACATTGAAAGGAATCCTAAAGCCATATATCCATCTTGCAATCCCAGAGATTTTTTTGATATGAAAATTGGGGCACAAAGCATGTGTTTACATTTTATATTAAAGGGATTTTAATTCCATATGGTTACAAACACAAAGAATAAGGATGGAACAAAAATTTAAATGAAGTGCATGAGGTGTGTGCCTTGCGCCTAAGCCTAAGGCACACCTCAAGCGCCTCAAATGCGCCTTTTCTACTGTGCCTCACCTCAAGCTGTCTAGGGCGCCTCAGGTGCGCCTCGCGCCTTTTAAAACACTGTGAGGACCAAACATGGGTTACATTTGGATCATCAATAAGTTTACAAAAAAGATTACCAAGAAAAACAACCCATATGAATGCAGAGAGCCGCTATTCCCATTCCACTTTGCTCCAAATACACTCCCTTCTTTGTCCTTTATTATACATAGTTACATTAATATCTTTTCACACAAAATACACTCCCTAAAAAACTAAAATTTCAAGGATATTAATGTAACTATGTATAATAAAGACAAAGAATTGAGTGTATTTGGAATAAAGTGGAGTAGGAATAGCGACTCCATGAATGAATGGTCCATACACATTTATCAACCACATCATGCCTCAAAGAAATCCCATCGAGAATAGATAATAAGGAAGACAATTCATTGGCCTCGTAATCATTGAGAATTTTATAAAACAAATGGAAATTCCATGCAATCAAATTGTAGTAAGATGAAACCATAAGAGCTATAGGCATGTTTTGAGAACAAGATATTTAATACAAAAGGGGAAATAAATGATCAAGTCTCACCCTTAAAATATCTTCCTAAAAATGAATATCTCTTCTGGGAACACCCCCAAAATATCTTCCTAAAAATGAATCTCTCTCTCATTTCCCACTTGAAATTGGACATAAGAAGAGAAACAGTACAATCCTTGAGAAATGAATTTCCATGGAGGCTGAGCATTCCCTCAATTGACTATACAATACAAGTATCTTACCCATTATCCCAAAGTCCCATATGTTAGTCACCACTTGTCCTAAAAGCTTAAGCAGCTAGGAAACGGGTCAAACAATGCATATCAAGCTCTCCAATACCATACGTGTTCCTACTAATGACAACATGTCATAAAAGAATTACGGTTAAGGGGAAATCTCCAAGGTCTAATATTCTTCTCCACAATGTATCCCAAAGTGAGCCCTCATTTATCCTTCGAAAGAGAAACCACATTCCAACTAACCAAATGATTCTTTCTAACCTCCACACTACCTTCTCATAGGAAATCCTTCATCAATTTTTCAATTGTCTTCTACATTCACCAACATTGTACACTAGACAAGATTGATCAAGGTGAAATAAATCTTCATCCTTTAGATATAAATCTTCATCCAAAGGAAGACCTAAATATCCCAGGGAAAGATTCAATAAAGCAACCCAATAACTTGCTAATATATGCATTATATCAAGTGAAATATTCAACCCTACTAAATTGCTTTTGCTAATATTCAACTTAAGATTATAAACCATCTCAAAGACCCTTAACCACTTTAGACTCCTTTGCAAAAGAATAACACGTTCTCATCTGCAAACTGAAGATGATGAGACACCATGTTATCCATGCCTATTATAAAAGCATCCACTAAGCCTCTCTCCTTAGCGCTATCAACCACTCCACCCAATACATCAACCACTAAAAAAAAGAAGAAGAAGCAGAAGAAGAAGAAGAAGAAAGTTAAGAATGAAACACAAAAATTTAGAGAGAGAGAGAGAGAGAGAGAGAGAGAAGAGAACCAGAGATTTACTAGGAGAGAAGGCACAACCTAATTAGGTTTTTTCCCTCTCTAAACACATGTATTTAAAATAATAAGGGAATAAGTACAATGACACTATTACCTTCAAGCACATAACTTAACACTCCCCCTCAAGTTAGTGCATAGATATTCTCATGCCTAACTTGCATACAATAGGATGAAACACTTTACTCCCTAACATCACCTACCTAATCTTTAGAAGTGACAAAAGACAAACAAATGATGCCACTTTTCACTTTCTCCTTGATAAAATATCAATCAATCTCGATGTGCTTAGTTCTATCATACTGAATAGGATTATGAGCAATGTTAATAGCAGCCTTATTATCAAAATATAGTCGCATGGGACCACCACTCAACAATCCTAGGTCAACCAATATAACTTGCAGCCACATCAACTCACAAATGACATGCACCATGGCTCGATATTCCGCTTCTGCACTTGATCTGGCAACAACGGACTGCTTCTTACTCCGCCAAATGACCAAATTTCCTCCGACAAATGTACAATAGCTTGTTTTAGACCTCCTACCATCAATAGCACCAACCCAATCTGCATTGGTGAAGGCCTCTAACCTTTGATAACCATGATTGGAGAACAAAATGCCTATTCTAGGCGCTGATTTGAGATACCTTAAGATTCGATGAATTGCATCCAATGCCCCATCCGAGGATCATGCATGTATTGGCTAACAACGCCAACAATATATGTAATATCTGGCTTGGTATGAGAAAGGTATATCAATCTTCCCACAAACTTTTGATACCTCCCTTTGTCCACATGTTCTCTGTCACTACTACTGAGCCTATGATTAGCCTCAACAGGAGAATCAGCAGCCCTACATCCCAACATCCCTACCTCCTCAAGTAAGTCCAAGATGTACTTCCTTTGAGAAATAAAGATGCCCTTATCTGATCTAGCAATCTCAATTCCAAGAAAGTACCTTAAGGGTCCAAGATCTTTAATTTCAAATTCCTTGAAAAGTTAAGCTTTGACTTTGGACATTTCTTCTTCATCATTGCCTGTCACCATAATGTCATTCACATAAACAATAAGTACAGTAATCTTATCTCGACATTGTTTGATGAACAAAGTAAGTGTTTGGGAAGTTGCAATTTTAGTAGGCTATTTTAGTTTTTGGCTATTTTAAGAGGCTAAAATTTGTGTGTTTGGGAAGATAACTAGATTTTTTTTTGTAATTGGATGTGATGTTTGTGAGAGAAAAAGTGAAATGATTATGGATTTAATGTGACATTTTGTCTTATTAGCTATTTTAGTCTATTTTGTCTTTTAGTGCTATTTTAGCCAAAAAAGTTTAAAAAATCTCTTTCCAAACACTCCCAAAGTATGATCTGCATGGCTTTGCTTACACCCAAATCTAAGCATTGCCTTGAGGAATCTATCGAATCATGCTCTAGGAGATTGTTCCAACCCATACAAAGTCTTCTTTAACAGACAAACCTTCCCCTCAGTGGCTGGAGAAGAAAAACCTGAAGGAACATCCATATACACTTCCTCTTCTAGAGCCCCACGAAAAAATACATTCTTCACATCTAACTGTTGTAATGGCCATCCCAGAGTTGCTGCATAGTGAAAAAGAACACGGATGAAATTCATCTTGGCCACTGGTGTAAAGATTTTCCGGTAGTCAATGCCATAAGTCAGAGCGAACCCTTTGGCAACTAGCCTCGCCTTATATCTTTCAATGGTCCCATCAGCTTTCTGCTTAACAGTGAACACCCATTTGCACCCCATAGGCTTTTTTCTGAGTGGTAGAGAAACTAACTCTCAAGTGCCATTTTTACTCTGTACTCTCATCTTCTCTGCTATAGCTTCTTTCCGCTTAGAATCGTTAAGAGCTTCCAACCCTACAGAATAGAAATAGAAGACAAAGACAAAACAAAAGCATGGTATGATGGAGACAATGAGTCATATGACACAAAATGAGATATATGATGCTGAGTACAAGATCTAACTCCTTTCCTAATAGCAATAAGAAGATCCAAGTCATCAACTTCATGAACATCACTAGCAGGGACAGGAGAATTAGTAACCAATGACTCATTACCTGAAACTGGAAATAGAGATGATTGGCATGGCAACACATCAGGCACCTGTTCCCTCTGTCGCCGAGAGTAGGTCTTGGGATCAGATCTATCCAACCGACAAGACTCCCCCTGAACACAAGGAATAACTTCCCCCTCACTACATGGCTCTTCCGCCCCCCTCCCCCAAAGTAACCACTAGAAGGAAAACCCATATAATCCGAGAAACCAATCTCTTCTAGAATAGAAACCTTCCCCTAAAGAGATGATCCCTGGAAGAATGACTCAGACTCACAGAACGTAACATCCATAGAAACATAAATCTTGCGAGTGTGAGGGTCATAACACTAATAGCCTTTTTGAGTAGAGGAATAACCGAGAAAAATACACCACAAGGCCTTGGGATCAAGTTTGCTACAAATGGAACGAGGGAAATGGACAAAGCAGACACAACCGAAGACTTCAGGTGGAAAGGATATAGTGGGAACAGATGTCCTGAGAAGAAGATCAAGAGGGCGTTGAAATTAGAGGACACTCGAAGGCATGCGGTTAATAAGATATGTAGCGGTAAGGACCGCATCACCCCAATATGGCTTAGGTACATGCATTGTGAACATAAGTGCATAAGCAACCTCAAGAAGATGATGGTTTTTGCGCTCGGCAACACCATTCTGTTCAGAGGTACTGATTGATAAAGAATGTCATGGGCTTCAAGATAGGCCCGAAATGCACCATCAATATATTCAGTGCCATTGTCACTTCGGACGACTTTAAAGGGGGGTAGCAAACTGAGTAAGCACCATCTTATGAAATGTCTTAAAACTTGAAAAACTTCATTTTTGGTTTGAAGCAAGTAAACCCAAGTTACACGAGAATAGCAATCAATAAAAGTGATAAACCACCGCTAACCAGATACAGACATAACACGAGACGGACCCCAAACATTAAAATGAATAACCATAAAAGGAAAAAAATTTCTTTTATTAATAGGAGGATAACAAGAACGTTTATGTTTACCAAACTCACAAGTTCTTCAATACTTCACACAATCTCAATTTTCACTTCTTAAATCCCTAAAGATTCTTATTCCAAACCTTAACATTTTCTTTAACACACTTTAGGTTTTTACTAAACTTAAAATTTGCCCATCCATGAACCCTATTATTATTCACCAATCACTCCTTAAAACATCTCTTAAACAAATAGTGTTCAAGCCACATGTTCCTAAGAGCATATGACACCACTTAATAGGATTTTTATCCTAGACAACTCCTCCTGTCTCGCATTTGGGGATCTTTCCTTCCACCCCAAAGAATATGAGAATCTATCCAACTTGTTACAAATGAAATGACCATTCAATAATGGATGATCAATTAAGTCAGTCTCTAATGAAGGCAACAAAATCTTTCACACTTTTTGTCAACTACTCCTCAAATTATAGAGAATAATATTACATTGAAGTCCCCATCCACAAACCAATTAGGAAAACATAAACCAAACAAACTCTTTAATTCATCCCTAAAGACTTTCTCACCCTCGAACTATAGGGGCTAGAATCACCATTCAACCCCACCCCCCTCCCCGGCGCGCCTCTTCAACAACCCATTTCCTATATCTAGCCCCCCAAATACTCTTATAAGCTTTTTATCAAACTTTTCAAACCATAAACTAAATAAGCTCCCTAATTCATGAAAAAAGACTTTCTCACCCATGGATTATTTTTGGAGCCATAACCACCATTCACTACCATCTAAATTTCCAAAACGAACCCACATTGAGGACTCCCCCACCACTATTTCACTTTCAATAACTACTCTCTTATATACATAATTAATAAACTTACTGATCTATTGTACGACGGTAAAACAGGCGATTTCCTACATCCAGCCCCCACATACGCTAATTGCTTTTCTATCAAACTTTTCAATTCTAGTTTCCTGATGTACTACAATATCCAAGCTCATCCTAAACAAGATTGCTTTCACCACACTCCTACTTCTGGGCCTAAGTCCCCTCACATTCCAACTAACTATTTTCATTAGGAAAAAACATTGGGTGTGTTTGACTTACTTTTAAGAGAGTGATTTTCAAAAAAGAATTTTGGGAGAAAGTTTAGAATTTTTTTTTGTTTGTTTGGTTGTATATTTTGGAACTTGGAAGTAGTTTTGGCGTCTACGAGTTTCGAATGATTTGATATTTTGTTATAATTGAGTAGATGTGTGTGACAGAAAAAGTGATTGAGAATGAGAGAGGAGAAAGAAAAAGTGATTAATTGATATGTAAGAAAGAGAAAGTAATTTAGTTTCCTGAAATACTACAATATCCAAGCTCATCCTAAACAAGATTGCTTTCACCACACTCCTACTTCTGGGCCTAAGTCCTCTCACATTCCAACTAACTATTTTCGTTAGGAAAAAACATTGGGTGTGTTTGGCTTGCTTTTAAGAGAGTGATTTTCAAAAAAAAATTTAGAAAGAGAGTTTAGAAATTTTTTTAGTTTGTTTGGTTGTACATTTTGAAAGTAGTTTTGGAGTCGTTTGGAATGATTTGATATTTTGTTGTAATTGAGTAGATGTGTGTGAGAGAAAAAGTGATTGAGAATGAGAGAGGAGAAAGAAAAAGTGATTGACTGATGTGTAAGAGAGAGAAAGTAATTTTGAAATTTTTTTGAGAAAAATCTCAAACCAAACAATTTTTTGGAATTTTTTTTCCAAAACTTCTCTCTCAAAGCTAAACCAAACACACCCATTATCTTTGACCTCTTTCAACTTGAGATTCCAACTCTTCAACTTGATTTGTCTTAATCAAAGAGACGCAACATTTTCATTGAAAAGCTTTTGGGTTCAACCAAGCTTTGCTGTAACTTGTAAGCATTATTTATTTATTTCATTGGCATGTAAGTATTATTTGATTCAGCAGTCTGACCAATCATCCAAGGGACCATATTACTAAGAAATTTACACCCTAAAAACTGATTCTTAGAAGCAATTGTCAATTATAAAGCCCTTGTGTTGCAATATTAGTGCCACTGAGCTTCCCCTCACCCTTTGTGCATTTTAAAGGTTTTAATGTAATTATAAGCTGACCCGAAAGGTTTTTATTTTATTTTATTAAACCCCCCCCTGGTTGAGATGCTCTCCAACACACACACACACTTCTGGACCCCTTCCACAAAGATCACATTGCTTTCCTTAGCATTAATACAAAAAATTATAAAAATTATTTTTCTAATTGTAAATGTGTTCTTTTTAATCAGTTTTACTACTTGATGACACCCTCAACTTGCCATCTGTATATACAGCATTGTTTACAAAAATGCATGTACAAAATCATCAACAATCAGTTAGAAAATAGTATATAATCTAAAAAATAAGAAGAGAGACTCACCTGCATTTCTCCAAGAAGATGTTTCTCAATGGCATTGAAGGAATCAACCATTTCCAATTCAGACATTTCAGATATAAATTGTTGAATGTCAGTCTTCAATCTTGCTTGCCTCCATAGTCTATGTTGTTCTTGCTCAGCAACAGCACGCCTTCTCTGAAACCATAGCATAAAGTTCTGTCCTTTCAGGAACCGCCTGTATAAATACATAAATCATTTTTTTAATAACAGAAGAAGATCATTGAATTGCATAATCTAAAAGAAACATACTAATGATTGACAGAATGGGTAGGGGAACAATAGTTGTAAACTTTAAAAAATGGAAGTTAATATTATTTACCTGTATAGATCCAACCAGTTAGATCTCATCCGCTTTGTTAAAAACTTTCCTGGACCTCTTGTCGATAAGCTTCCAAGAAATTCATCGACAGTGAATGGACGGAGAGGAGGAGGATTAACAAATGGTGAAGATCCTTCAGAAGGTGTGGTAGCTCTAAAATATGGGCCAAAAGGGGCTAAAAAGTTGGTAGTGAGCTCCAAAAAATGCCGTCGCAGTATCTCATTGTTGACAACAGACATAGACTCCTCAACTCTTGGTGACATCCCAGCATCAATAAGCCTATTCAAGATAGAAGTGTCTGGCTTGGTTGTGGCAGTGTAAGTGCTCCAAATAGCTTCCTTATGTTCCGTCATGAGACAAAGAGGTCCATCTCTCCTCAACTTCACAGCATTCAACAAATTTGAAGGAGAAAACCTCTTCAAGGAAAGATTCTGGATACCAAATCCTTCTGGTCTAGTAACTCTAGCACTAGAGGCTCTAGGAGCAAGGGAAAGCCGGTTTGAATTGATAGCAGGACTTCCAACTGAAACAATGTGAGGTATATTACGAAGAGCTTTCAAGAAAAAAAGGTTCGTCACACCCAAAACCATCGGAGGGAAAATATCCCCTTCTTGAAGCGAGTTTAAATGGGTAAATTCTGGGTCATGAATGGTGAAGTAAGGCCTGAAATCAACACTGCAAAGGAGCGGTGCAACCAGACTAACCAGAGCTGTCACGGCCTCACAACACTGGGGAGGTGTTGGCGCAATGATAAGAATTGGCTCACCGATAAGTAACAACTCCCATAACAACCAAAGCTGTAACAAAAGCCCCCGATATATACCAAAAATATCCGAATCATGAAAGAGACCTTGCGGAACCGACTGATTATTAGGAAGAAAAGGAGCCATTGACGAAGCTGACTCTTCAAATGTAATTCCCCCATCCGAGGGCAAGCTATGAGCGGGCGGTAAGTTCACTTTTAGTGCAGCATTCCCAATTGGAAGCTCCATTAATTTCCCAGGTATAGGACTAGGCCACATTGATACATAAGCAGCAATATGTTCAAGAGCTTTCTTCCCAATATCAAAATACAATGGACCCATGATTTGTAACAACGGTTTAAACACACTAGAGTAAGGATTATGAGACAAAATCACTACAGATTTTTGTTCACCACCTCTCTTTAGTCTCTCATCATGTCTCTGCCTATTGAATACAAAACCATACAAGTGTCTACTACTACTACAACTACTATTATTATTATTATTATTATTTGATTTATTCAATACATTTTGTTGAAAAGTAATTGCTTTATTCAATGAATTCTCATCAACTGACCTTGAAGATTGTTGTTTACCATCATCTACTTCAACTATCTCTGAAGAAGACCCATTCCCTCGCCTTGGGGACCGGAAAAAGAAGATGCAATCATGGATGCTGGATCGATTATGGTGCTGAGAAACGGAATCTGGGAAAGAACTGAAAGAGATTTCGAGTTCTTCCTCTTGTGTTAGAGACCCAGATGGAAAACACTCTTCAATTAGCTGACCTTGCTCGAGATCGAACCTGATTACGCAAAAAGCAACGACCCATCGATTCAATGACTTTGGATCGATCTTCGGACTGGGTAGCTCGGGCTTCACAGAGAACGATGGTGACCTGCTCATTTCAAAGCAAACCCAAACCCAGAACTGGTTTTCATTAAATGAGTGAACCCATTTTCACAATCTTCGATTCCAATCTAAAATCTGAAAATGGGTAGTTCTCATATGGAACAGTTTGTGCTTCTAATTGCAAAGGAAATCGAGAAATCAAGAGAAATGCAATGGGTTTCGAGACGATTTTAGACTGGATTGAAGAGGGGTTTTCGTGAGACTAAACGATCAAGAATTTGAAAATCAAAGCTGGGAAAGAAGAAGAAGAAGAAGAAGAAGAAGAAGAACGATGCATTTGATTTGAGAAACAGCAAAAACTCCAATTCGAATGTTTGGGCTTTCCGTCTTTATCTTCTTGTTGTGAAATGTGGGACGAGAGGGTTCTCTTCAAAAATAAACCCAAAATTTTTGCCTACCCACACTAAAATATTAAAAAATTATTTGGTTTGCTTTCGGAACTAGTTTGCGTTGGGTATAACTCTTTGTTTGTTGGAGTGGGGTATCTAATTGACTTTTAATTTGATTTAGTATTAATTATAATAAACTTTTATATGTTATATTTAATTTGAGGAGACTCAATTTAATTTAGAAATAATTAAGGTTTGATAATAAATTTTAAATTCATAATATTTTAGGGTTTTGGTTTTTGCTCATCCTGAGGTGAAGAGAACGGCTGCTACACATACACCACTTTGGTGAAATCAATTATTTGGGTGTATGAACGGTGGAATTAGTTTGGATGGTTCTTTGCTTCGTTTTTGGTGTTGATTTGGTTCGTTATTTTGGATCTTCTACAACTTTGATTCTGAAGATTTTTATTCATCTATTTGATGAGGTCTTTCCTCTTATTTATTTGTGATTATTTGAAATTCACCTAAGGGTGATTTTGTGAGACCATTAGTGTCTCGTTTGTAATCGTTTGAAACTTATTTGGTTGATAGTGGAATTGGATTTCGATCCCGTGGACGTACCTCACATTGAGGGAACCGTGTAAAAATTCTTGTGTTGCTTTTGATTTAATTTTTCTGCATTAGTTTTTATTCTCATTGATTGATTTACTCGTGGAGAATCACATATTTTCCCTAACAGTTTGCTTCTAATTGATTACGGATTTGGGATAAAATAAATTTTGAATTTTGTTAATTTAAATTTTAAATTTATTTTTAACATAAATTATTCATCTATTTTTGTCAAGTAAAATTGACAGAAAAAATGATATTTAAGTCATTAAATCAAAGAAAATATAGTATTTTAAACATTTTATTTATGACAAATTAAACGAATAGTCCTTATAGTTTGGGCCTTGTGTCACTTTAATCCATAACTTTTCAATTGTGACATATTTGATCCTGAATTTTGAATCTTGTTCCAAATAAGGATAATTAAACATACCATTTCTTAATTTCAAGGGCAAACTCGTCAACTTTATAAAATATAAACTTATTTGACAAAAATAAATGTCAAGAAAATATTTTAAAATTTATTTCTACCCACCAAAAATAAAATTATGTAAAATTGATAAAAATTACATTATTAATTTTTAAAAATTAATTTTATATGATTATCATCTAAATACATAATAAAAATTAATATGGTAAAAAAAATAAATGTCTAAAAGATTTATCAATTTTATATAATTTTATCTTTAGTAGCTATAAATAATTTTTTAAAATTCAAAAATAATTTTTTATCAAATTGACGATTTTGCTCTTGAAAAATCCAATAGTATTTATAATTGTCCTTATTTGAAACAAGATTCAAAATTTAAGATCAAATGTGTCACAATTAAAAAGTCGGGAACCAAAATGATACAAACCCGAAACTATAAGAACCATTAGTGTAATTCACCATTTTATTTACACTTGGATTTAGTTTAATGCTTAAAATATTATTTTTCGTTTGTTTTACTTGATAGAAATATGCTTATGGTTTAGATTAAAAATAAATTAAAATATTAATATTTAAATTGACAATTAAAAATTAAGAGCTTATTTTGTTATAAAGATTAAATTTTGATTTTTTTTTATTTTATTTTATTTTATTTTTGGTTATAATTTTTCCAATGAAGTATTGAATCTCAAAAGAGTTATCAGAGAGTATCAAAGAATCAAAGTTACCAGAATGGAGACAAAGGGAGGAATTTGATGAGAAGAATAGGAGATCTAAGTTAAGATAAAAATTACAAGTCTTTTTGTTATGTCTAGTAAATCTCGATTAATAGTGGATTTGATTTGCTTGATTGTGCTGATTTTTGTTTTAAAAAAAATTCATATTATATTGTTGTGTCTAGTGTTATACAACCGGTTGTGTGTTGATTTATTTTTACATATTGTTAGTATTAAATATTAATTGACAAAATCAAACTAAACATTGAACCAGCTAATTCCTTGACATTGTAGTTAAAATTTCTTATTGACAAAGTACTTCAAGATTAGTCAATTCCTTGACATATTGTGGTCCTATTTCGTCTTAACAACTAATAAACATCCACTATAGAGCCATTTGTTACAATAATATGACCACAATTCACACTTTTGTTGCGATGGTTGAGTCATGTCAATACTTTTTCCCCACCAAATGAGCAAAGACATGCCATCCAAGCTCATGCCAACCAATGATTACATGTTTTTTTGTGTTGACATTATCTTTGCACCTTCTAAAGAAAGGAATTGGACGAGGGTTGTTGGTAGTGCTCTAAATGAATGGTAGTGCTCTAAATGAAAGATGATCGTGCTTGAATTAGATTTTTAAGATCATCTTCAACGTTGCATCAGACTCAGCATCAAATTTGAATTTGATGAAAAAAATCACATTTTTCCTCTCCAATGATTTCACCAAACTGATATCAAACTGAGAATGAAGCAAAAATTTCATCAAACTGAGAATACGCGTAAGGTTTCACCATTTTACTGTGCAGGAACGTTGGAGGTGGGGCCACCGGTCAACCGGCCGACCGACCGGTTGACCCATCGGTCGATCGGCTCCTTTCAAATAAGTAGGTCCAAACAGGGTCCAAAAGGTTCAAATAGATTAAAAAAAAAAATTTCTTCACCTTACCGGTCGATCGACCGATCGTTCCACCGGTTGTCCCCACCCAGTATTATTTTGATGCACTCGTTGGAGGAGGTAATACCAAATTGAGAAAATCACCATTTTTTTTATCAGATTTGATGAAAAAAAAGGTTCACCGTTTGAGGTGCTCTAAGTTTTGTTTAATAAATGAATCAAGTATGAACTAAAATAACTCAAATAAAATAAATTCATTGGTTCTTTGTTTAAGTAGTAAGATAAATATATTATTTATATATTTAATATTGAACTTCAAGGTAGATTAATTATCAAATTCAAGCTACATTTTCAAACTCAATAAATAAATAAGCCGTACTTGACCCTGTAAAACTCGACTCGACTCATTTACAATCCCAGTTGTTGATGACCACAACAGGTTATAAGGAGCTATGATGCTAGTGTTGCACCACATCAATCATATGTTAAGAAGATGGTGAAAAACAAATTTAAAAAAATTGTAACTTTTTTTTTGTAGGGGATAAATATGCGAACTTTATTAGAAAAGTATCAAGATGATATTAAGAATACAAAAATCAGGCCCCTAAAGAAAATCTAAGATAATAAATCTTCCACAAAATCTACAAAAGTCAAAACGTTTGGATCAACCAACCCCATAACCCAATTATATAACACTATACGCAACCGTCTCTCCAACCAAGTAACTGAGTGTGACACCCTTTGGAAAACCCGCCTATTGCGCTCCAACCAAAGAAGTCATATTAAACAGTGATCATCCATGCTTTTCGATTCTGCCCAACCTTACCCTCAACCAACTTTGTAAAACTGCTGCTACATTGCCTGGTTGTACCCGTACCAAGCCAAAAGTCGCAACAAGAAGCATCTACAGCCTAGAAGCAACTGGGCAATGAAGAAGCAAATGATCCACCAACTCGGAATCGCCACAACACAAACAACACCAATTTACTATAATATGCCCACGCCGCCTTACATTATCAATGATCAGTATACGACCTAAACTCGCCGTCCAGACAAAGAAAGCTACCTTGGAAGCCGTGCCTAAGATCCACACACATTTCCAAGGGAACAGATCCATATTAACAGGAACAAGTGCACCATAGAATAAAGACACAGAAAATAGTCCTTTGGAACCCGGGCAAGTTCTAACCAGCGAATCCTCCCTTACACCCCCGCCTCTCAACCCATATAAAAAACCCATCAGGTCCACTAACTGATACACCTCTCAATCTCGAACAGAATGGCACAACGAAACATTCCAAACAATCTCCTATCCTTGGCCACTCTGAACATCCCCTACCATGATCTTACGATCTCCTGCAATCCTAAAAATCAACGGGAACAACTAGTCTAAAGGGATATCACCACACCACCTATCACGCCAGAAGTGCACTCTATCTCCCACTCCAACCTTTAACTGAACCCGTCGCCAAAACTTCTCCCAACCCAATCAAATACTCTTCCAAACACCTCAACCATGAGTCAGGACTACCCTACCCGAACACCACCCCCTATACCCAATCCATACTTCATCGCATCCACCTTCCTCCAAAAATGCTCCCTCTCTCCCACAAAATGCCACAACTACTTACCCAACAAAGCCAAGTTAAACAAGACCAATCACCTAATCCCCAAACCCCCTAACTTCTTTGGAACACACATCTGATCCCAAGCCACCAAATAGGAATGAGAAACCACCCCCCCATCACTCCATAAAAAGTCTCGCTACAACTTCTCAATCCTCTTTGCCACGGCCATGGGAATCACATGAACAAATATAAAATAAGTCGGGATACTCAACAAGACACTCTTGATCAAGGTAAGCCGCCCTCTTTTTGACAAATATTGTCGTTTCCAACCAACTAATCTCTGTTGCACCCATTCTACCACTCCATCCCATACCTCTCGAGCCTTGAAAGAAGCTCTCAAAGGAAGTCCAAGATACGACACTGGCAAAGAAACCACTTTACACCCCAGAATTGCTGCCAAAATCGATAATCGTGCCACCTTCCCAATCGGGATCAATTTAGACTTTGAAAGATTAACCCGCAATCCTGACATAGCCTCAAAACACAACAACACACATCGAAGATGTCCAATCTGGTCTACATCCGCATCACAAAATATAGGAGCATCATTTACATAGAAAAGATATGAAACCAGCAAAGACGTAGAGCCTGAGCCCACCTCAAATCCCTGCAACATGCCTCCATGAACTGCCCTGGACAGCAAGCGCCCCAAAGTCTCCATAACTAGAATGAACAATAGCGAGGATAAAGGATCTCCTTGTTGCAAACCTTGATAAGTAAGAAATGACCAATATAGATATCCGCATAATCAAAATACAATAATGAATTCCGTCTCCAAGTAGCCCCAAAATCCATCATATCCAACACATACAACAAGAAACCCTAGTTAACATTGTCATATGCCTTCTCAATATCTAATTTGCAAATGACTCCCTCTTTTTCTTGCCTCAACCTCGAATCCACACACTCATTGGCTACCAAGACCACATCCAAGATTTGCCTACTATCTACAAAAGCATTCGAAGACTCCGAAACCACCCCCTCCAACACCCCTCGAAGCCGATTTGCCAACAACTTATACATACTCCTCAAAAAACTGATCAGTCGAAAGTCCCGAATATCCCCTGCCCTATCCTTCTTTGGGATCAGCACTATAAAAGTGGCGCTCAAACTCTCCTCAAACTGTCCCGTCCAATGGAACTACTTAAACATAACCAAAACATCACTTTAACCACACCCCAACAATGATGGAAAAAAGATATGGAGAAATCGTCTAGCCCAAGCGCCTTATCTCCAGGCATACTCTGTAGCGCTGCAAACACCTCTTCTTTCGTGAATACCCTCTCCAGCATAGTGCAATCCATCTCAGAGATGGCATCAAACATAACCCCATCGAACCGCGGCCTCCAAATATCCCTATCCAGCCGAAAGAGATGCTCATAGAAGCCCACTATAGCCCCTCTAATCTCTTTTGCTGATGAAAACTCCACCTCATTTACCCGTATCTTCCTCACCTGATTCACCCGTCTATGCACATTAGCCATACGGTGAAAGAACCTTATGTTTCGATCCCCATCCTTCAACCACAAGCATCTAGATTTTTGGCAATGGCTGATCTCCTCCATACAAGCCACCTATCCAAAGTCTCTTTGAGCCGCCTCCCGACGAGCCATATCCTCTCCTGACATGAAACCCACTTCCTCTTTCTCATCCAGTCCCTGTATAACTTCTAAGGCGTTAGCTTTCTGAGTCTTCAGCCGCCCAAACACCTCCATATTCCAACGCTTCAAATCAGACTTTAGGAGCTTCAACTTTTGAGCGATACAGGAACTGGGATCTCCAAGCACCATATAACTGCCTTACCACCCTCGGACTATCTCGCCAAACCCGTTCGCCTGAAGCCACATATTTGAAATCAAAACAGAGTCGGACCACTCTTAATCCCCCAATTATCCAATAAAACTGGTTAGTGATTAGAAACAAACCGATGTATCATCGATTGTGTCACCTATGAGAAATGCTCCTCCCAATCACCAGTAACTAGGAATCTATCTATATGGGACATCGCCCTTCCTCTAGACCAAGTATAACCACCCCTTTCTAACTGTAAATCCACCAAACCAAACTCATCAACAAACGAAGAGAAAGTCTGCATGGTGCCTAAAACTGATGACGCCCCCTTCTTCTCTGTCATACAACGCACTGTATTAAAATCACTCCCCACACACCAAGAAACCCCCCATCGAAAAGCTACACATTGTAACTCCTCTAAAAAATCTGCCCGTTCCACCCCCTCATGGACCCATATACCCCGATGAAGGCCCAACAGTAATCATTCGCAATACTACGAAACAAACAAGATATCGAATAAGCCCCCGTCTCCTCATCATCCTTTTCCACCACCCGCCGATCATAGCATAGAAGAACACCCCCTACCACCCCTACTGTTGGCAAGAAAGTCCAATCCATGAAACGCCTCCCCATAGCTCCTTGACAATCTCTTCCCGAATGTACTCTAACTTTGTTTCCTGAATACACACCACATCCGCTTTAACACTTCTCAATAGAGCTCGAATCAAAACCTTTTTCGCCCTATCATTCAGACCACGCACATTCCAGGATAAGATTTTTAACCGCATGGCAACAACAATTGATCTCCTCGATCCTTCTTGACACCACGACTGCCCCCTCCTTTGTGTCAATCATAATTTATCAAGCACTCCAATTTACGCAGCTTCTTAGAATTCTTCGTATTTTGTCCTCCCGATGGCATCTCCTTTTTCAATAGAGCACCTCCTCTCTAAGATTCTTTTATAGCCAAGAATAATTTTAGAGCTTTAACTTCATAACCCTCAAAAGAAACCCTTAAGAGCTGACTAACCTCATTGATGCGAGATAAGACCCAAGCTAAGACCTCCTCAGGTAGTAGAGGAACATCACCCTGAAATCCATCTCTGTTGTAAGGTCATCAAATTCATCCCCTGCGTATATTGCATCTGTCTCAGTAAGCATTACCTCAAGCCGAACCACTAGAGCCAACTCCTCTGTTTAACATGCCCAACGACTTTTGTCTTCTACCTCTACTGCGGTACCATTCTCTCAATGATCTGATACCTCCTGAAAGTGCTCACCCTCTGTCGGCGACCCATAACGCGACAAACTCCCCAAAACAACAGTATCGTCGCCCTATTGGAGATCAGACAAAGACCACCCTACACGGCCTGAAAGTGCTCGCTCTTGATCCAGCAATTATCGAAGTCTAGAGCCGTCATGCTGCACCACCGACACAAAAGGATCTGCTAAGCTATTTTGGTTTGGATCAGAATGACTAGACCCATTGCTTGACTCACTCATTGACCCACCAACTTGGCCTAGCTGGCCTAAAACATTAAGCCCACTATTCTCCAAATTGCCTTCATTTATAGCCCAACAATTTTGACCCCTAGTTTGGCTCATACGAATTTGAGCTGAAGATTGGCCTAAATCATTAAGCCCACTATTTACCACTATACTCTTTTTTTTTTTTTTTCCCCAGCACTGTTGAACCATATTATTGCCCACAACAATGTGGGTCGATGGTTGGCCCAAGAATCCAGCCCTTCCTCGACTGGGTCCCTCTCGGGTTGGGTTGCCCCGCTTGGCCATACTCCTAAATTCTTGGCCAAATCTGTGAAGATAATCACTCACCCCCACATTATGCACTTGATCCCCCTGATAACGCCTCAAATCACGAGGTCCCAAATCAGACCCGTCACCCTCATGCAACCCTACCAACGACACCACACACTCCATCGACAGTCTGACCTTCACCCACACCGAAAGAGTGAACTACTACGATCTCCACCGAACCAAAATGTATGGCGGCATAGATTCAGAGCTCCGTACTCTCAACCGAATACAACCCAGATCAACCGTTGACTCATCGGCCGCAACAAAGCCACAACACCGGTCGCCAATATCACGGTACACTTTTTTGCCGTGAAGATGCACAAGTAAGCCCATCACACGAAGCCAGACACTCTTCTCCAGAATAAGCATCTAATTAAAAGCACAAAGAGCCAAAGACAACCACCACTCCAAGTTTAGATTGCTCCCTTCAACGATCCACCGCCGCCTTATCAAAGACTTCGCCCCACGCCTCGTTGAGAGCACAAACAAAAAAGCCTGGTTCCTTAACAAACATACCTCCACCTTGCCTGAAGACTTCCACCATCGATTGACCCATGCACACATAGCACCCAAACCCACTCCACCCCCCACCGTACCTACCAAAGATCTGTCCAGCACCCTGAACCACCCCACTTCAATACAAGGTTTCGTGAAGTCCACGTCAGAAACAACCTTACCAGGTGGAGCTTCCTATTGTACCTCATTCACCATTGCTAACTTACCCTTCAAACCAATAAAACGTGTCACCCATCTATCTCCCATTTTGAAACCCTCCAGAACTAAGGCCAAACCCTTCAAACCATTCCCATAAGCCAACATAGGTATGAAGACTTGCTCCTTTTGAACCCCCATAGTCACCACTATTTGGACAAAAAACCCTCCTCCGAGCTCCCCACGAACCCACACTACTAAACTCCGTCTTCCTCCACTAAGGTGACTCAAATACCCCAGATGACCTGGCTCTTTCAATGCCATTCTTAGTTTCGTCACAATTCAGCATATTTCAAACCCAACCAAAACAACAGCCCGATAGAGCCCTTTTCTCTCTCCCCAATTGATAGACTACAACGACCTAAAGAACCCACCGATGACTCCTCTGACTCGAACGTATGACCACCGAGAAAGAGGATTCGCTGACACAAGCCGATCTCTTTTGCCACACGGAACATCAATGAGAACACAAGCCTTCAAGGATCAGTTGTCATACTAACCTTTAAAAGTATCAAATAACTACGCTGTAATCTTTGGCAGCCGTTGATGGCAGAGAAGTGGTGGTTGCGCCATCGTGGAGCGAGCGATAAAGATTTTTTTCCCCCCCAAAAAAAAACCCCAAAAACGAAATGATTTTAAAAATTAAAAAAACAATTAAAAAGTGTGGAGGCACTTGCAATGTGTCTGCCTTGAATTCTTTCATGAAATTTTTCAATTAGACACTTACTAAAATTCATTAATAATTGTAACTTTTTTATTAGTGTATTTTCATACAGATTGTATAATTTTTATCTTAATGTGTCCTAAGTCAATTTAACAAAATCTCATTATGACTTTTGTTAACACGTCTTTAGGTGGCATGTTAAGATAATTTAAAAAAATTATACATTCTCTATTACATGTACTTTCATTCAAAATATACAATCTTTTTAAAATTTCCTAATATGTGACCAAACAAATTTCATTAGCAGATACGGGATCAAGATTAAATTGAATAATCCAAAACAAATTAATTATGCATTTGGTTCAAACTTTCTCAGGATAACTAATCCCAAGAGGCCGTTTATCCCGCACGTGCAATTATGTATATACTTTCTCCAAACCTAGATTTATTACCACTCTTTTGAATCATATGTAGTTTCAACACAGATGTCAAATTATATATACACAACAAACACATGGTATAATGTCACAAATTTTGGAATACGAAAGATTTACAAAGTCAGAATCACAGCATTCTAACCCAGACAAAAAGTCAGAAATTTACAAAGAAAAAAAAAGAAGTTATCCGATGATTTTTTTGATCATAAAATCAGCATTGTCTAAATTTCCTAATTCTAGCTTCGGTTAGTAGTTCAATCTCAAAAATGTTCCTCACTGTTGCTAAATATTTTCAACAAGAACATTTCCCTGTAATAATTTTTGAAATTGTCTGTGTTCCAATATATTTATACAAAAAGGTCAAGCAGGTAAGTTAGTGCTATACATCATATACAGGTAAGCGTTCCTCTATATAGACACGGCAAATTGGGCATTTCTTGCACTTCTCACAGCAGGTACTGCACCAAATTAGATGAGAACCCATCATACATCGTAAAATGATGTAGGCAAGGAAAAAAAAATGAAAATAATAACGAAGAATGTAAATAAAAAAAAATGTATTAGGCTAGAGGTAGACGAACATACCCACAAAGGATGCGATGCCTGCATGGAAGCAGGACTACACTGATCTCTCCCTCAAAGCAGACCCGGCATAAAACTTTTTCCTGACAAGTCCACAAGATAATTTGTGTCAATGTGGAATCAACTTTATAACAAAAGTTCACTTAAGATTAGAAAGAAACTTTGGCGTGCTACGATTCAAATAAAATGATATGCAATCACAAATCTTACACATCAAATCAATACAAAAAATTGAGGCCATGTTTGTTTGGGGCGGACTGGATTAGGTTGAATTAGCATTTCCATAACTAATAGTTCTAGGACTACGAATCCTTTGGGATTATGTATCCTATCCTATGTTTGAATTGAGTTAGGATTATAAGGAGGGACTAATAGTCCAGATTTTGGCTTAATCCTCCAATTTATATCCCATCCCCCTCCGTAGGATTGAATAGTCCATCATATGTGGGATACCATATCTAGATGGATTGTTAGTCTGTACTTCAATTGTTTAATCAAATATCGGATTCATAATTTTATTGGACAATTAGTCAAATCCCAAGCTCATATCCACCCCAACAAACATGGCCTTAAGGAATTCATGTAAGTGCAACTGTTTAATGACTAACTCAGTTTGATGCCATGCACATCAAAATATGTAAATTTCTTGTGAACTTAATGGTTGAAAAACTGTATTCAAACATCTAATAAGCACAAGGTGTAATAAAAAATAATGTGGAACAGTAAAGCATGTAATCTGATTAGTATAAACTTAGTATAAAGTCCTATAACAGATTTATATTGAATGGGAAAAAAAAACTAAAGCCATAAACTTAAGAATATTACATTTTGAAGTCTTTCATACTCCTGCTGGCTAAATTTTGTGATTTCTGTTTGTTCACCAAGAGCTGCTTGAAGTCTCCAAACCTGACATGCAAGAGAATCAAGTGCAAAACAGGAAAGAAATACAATCAAACTCGAGCACTATGTGATACAATAATTGTAATGAACGCAAAGACTTAATCATTTTGGAGACCCCCCCAAAAAAAAAAAAAAAATTATAATGAAAACCAAGAAAATAATGACTTAAAACAGGTAAAATGGAAAGGGATACTATGAGATATATGATCACCTCCTCCGCAAGATCCTTCTTAGGCATTTTCTTCACTATTTCAGGAGGATAGCCACAAAAAGTGTTATAACTGCATATATAGGAAACAAATACATTAGCAAACCAAACCACATATGCAACCATATCTAGCATTCTATTATGCCCTAAACACGTAATGCAGCAGATAGTGACAATGACAACTCATTTTCAAGATTTGACAAGTTACATATTTACAGTTTAAATCAATCACATCTGTACTTACGTCATAAATCATCTGGTACTTTCAAAGGTTAGTGCAGTTACGTACATCACTGCCTTTACTGAAGTAATATGGACGAAGTACTCAAAAATATATCACCATAAATGGGACAGTTCGCAGATACTTCGATGAGTACGTGCTAATGTTGAATGAACATATATAGAACTAATAAACTAAAGAAGAAGAAGAAGAAGAACAACAACAACAACAATAATTGATGTTGGATCTGAACAACAAATTTCTTCTTGTTGTTTGAAAGGTCAGTGGAAACAAAAGGAAATCAATGTCAGAAGCTGAGAAAGCCCTTCATTTAACCAAGATTGAAAAGAGAATGAGAGAGACATTTCCAGTGAAGTGGGCATATATCGAAGCATACAAGAAATTTGAAGCAGATCTTTTTGGGTTTGGAGTTTATTTTTTTTACGCTTTTATTCTTGTTTTCTACGTCTTTTGTTTGGTTGTATGAAGGTGGTGCTCTCTGACAAGTTCTCTAATATAATTTTCTTTTGAGAGAGAGAGGCAGAGACCTCCCCCCAACAAGACTTAAGAGTCAAGGAAGCCTATTAAACTACATAATCACTCCCATCTGAATCCCCATAACTGACAGATCCTTAAAGAACCCATCTAAATATTTCAAAAAGGAACCAAAAACCTAAAGGAGACTTGAGCGAAAAAATATGGATATATTTAAGTTGGAAAAGTATACGAGGACAGCAAGATATGGCAAAGAAACTAGAATATTTGGATAACTTCATAATAGCTAATCTCCATCAGGAAAACATACGTATACTGCTGATGAACAAACTCAATTCAGGGGAAGGTCTAAGTCTCTAACCAAACCAACATGGGTGCAGGTTGAACAGGACTAGTTGCAGGTAAACCACAGGCTTGAGTTGCCCAACAGTAGGCTCAGATCAAATAATGTGTGCCCTTACATTGTAGCATAGAACCTATGCTATAATGCATGAGAAGCATGAATCAATATCACTATCAGCTCCAGCATGTAACCTGGGGCTGGGAAGGGTTTTTTCTTTGGTTTTTGTATGCTTGATTAGCATATGTAAGCTCCACCTAAACAAAGACTCGTGCAATTGCAAATTAACACAATTAGACCACACAAACTGGGATATGTGATTAGCATATATGACCATGCAGTCCATATGCAACTCATATTCTCCATGTGGCAGCACAACTGCCATTAGACAAAATTGGTCACAATTTCATTTGGCGGACAGATTATGTTCATAAGAGGTGTTAACAACTTAAATAGATCCTCATATATGCTGCCAAACCTTCACTAGTTCTTATCTCTCTGCCTTTTATAGCTTGTTTTCCTTTCAAACATTCAAATACCTGGCTCCAAATAGCTGGCTAGGGTTTTGTTGAGTTAAATTAACCCCTTTCATTAATTTTCAAGTTTCAACTTTCAATAAGCATGTACGGTTTCACAATCTCTTCATATTTTAAGCAAATAACTAAAACACTTTTAGATTCCTTGGCCATTCACTAACAAATTCACTTCAAAATGTTGTTTATTTGTTTTTTGTTTTTTAAAATTCTTTTTATTTTCCCTCAACTAAGGGGTTGTTTGGGATGTCCTAAATAAGTGCACTTTTTGACTTTTTGGATTAAAAAGTTGATGAATAAAATATGGTTGTTTGGGTTAACTTTTTGACTTTTTATGGAAAAATGTGTATTAAAAAATTGTATAAATTAGTGTATAGGAAAAAATTAGGATTGAGAGTTGTGCAGCCGTACTTTTTGACTTTTGGTGAATAGTGATAACTTTTTAACTTTTTGAGTAACTTTTTGACTTTTTGGCCACATGCCAAACTTGGCCTAAAAATGACCAGCCAGCCACAATCATATAAGATCACAAATGGACATATGAAAGATGTGCAATCTGTGCATTTCCAGTAAATTTTATATAAAATACTTACCCAGAGGCCCCAGCTTGAAAAAGTCGAGCCTGTTCTTCTCGGCTCCCTTCATCAATTGACCACCAACCAAGAAACCTGTTTGTACAGATAGTCAAAGAGCAGTGAGAATTACTTAATACCAGTAGTACTTTTCTTAGATATGACTTAGTAAGTGAACAACCTGCCTACTCTACATTTTCTTTGTGATGAAATGTGCTGAGCATTACCTAGAGCCGCGGTGCAAGTACCCAAAGCACTCATGTACTATTGAAGAAAACGCAAAATATTGTCCCATGGCAGCTCCACTACGTAGTAAAAGAATGATTTTTTCCACCAATCTAGACATGGCAAACAGGACGCCAACACCTTGCAATAGAAAAAGAGGAGAAAAAATAACTGGAAGTGGGATATCTCTAGCTGCAGCAGGTGTCCCCTGAAATATTAGAGCACTGACAGATTTGTTCATAAGACATTCCAATGGGTTAAAAATTTTCATCCATCCAAAAAACGTAATAAACACAAAAATGAGTCACAACTCATACCTCCAAGCGCATACAAAGGAGGACTTGGAAACCAATTATCGGAACTTTCATAATATGCCCTCCAATATCCTGCAGACCACACATTCTATCCTGGGACTGATCCTCTGATGCAATTACTAAACCACTGTTCCAGTCAAGGTATCTTATAGTTGAAGAAGATGAGCTGGCTTCCTGAGTACGAGAATTTCTATGTATCACTGGATTAGACCACTTTGTACAGACAAGAAACGCAAAACACTCTGCAATGCTGTGAAAGGGTGGGGGGACAAAAGCCTAATAATCATCACTTGTCATGCACACAACATAAATAAAACCCAATTATGAAGGTAAAAATGGTAGTAAAAACATGTGTAGCAGTACCCAAAATTAACAAATAAATCCCACCATCCTAGAGCATTCACATCACCTGCAATGTCATATAAAAGATCGAAACCAGACAATAAGTAAATTGGGATAGTAACTTATCATTATTACGAAGCATATATGCAAACATGAATGGCATAATTAAATTGTGCAAGCAGATTATAGCATGCTGTGATTGGGTAAAATTTGTAAATGAGATACTGCAGTTAGGGAGGCCACCGTTTCCAAATGGGGGTGCATATTATCCGAAAACTGTATGAACAAATATAGCAGTATCCCTAAAAGCCTTCACTATACTGTGCATTAAACAAAGAGTAATAAAATATGAGGCAAAGGCCCTCCTGCATGTCGAACAAATTTTTCATCCTTTAAAAATAGAGTCTCGTCGTTACAAATTGTCCAGAAAAAACAAAACTATGAAGCATGCCAATAAATCATTTGCAGAAGAAGACCTAAAAGCAACCGAAGAAACAACGGGCTGATGGAGACCATCCAATGTCCCAAACAAATTCATCACTCTATCCTGGCAGTTCCAGTGAAAGATATTGCCAAGTTACCCATTGATACAGAAAAGTACTTATTCACTGTCGTGCAGTTGGACACCATGCCAAAAGGTCAAGAAACTGCCAACAAAGGGGTGACAACTGCATTAATAATCCTTCCAAAATTTTGCCCTGGACCCATGTCCCATGTCCAAACATGAGACAAATCCCATGACTGAAGGATGGAAAGAGTTTAAAAAATCATAATTTATAGTCACGTCTGTTTAAGATGATACATTAAAAAGGTTAGGATGCAGCTTCAAATGAAGCAAGCCACCATGCCAACTTTACTTCAAGAATCTCAAGCTCAGACCCATAGCATATTTTGAAAGGCAATTTTTCTGAAGATGAAGATCTCTGACACCTTTACACCAAGTTTCTTACGAACTTCTCAACATTCACCATCCTAATTAAATCATATTCTTTCGTTTCCCAACCCCTTCCACCCACCATATATATGTACATGTACAGATATGTACCAAGAAAAGTTTCTAACCACAATCACCATCTTGTGTGCATTTGTTGCTTTTTCCTGTCAAAAAAACTATCAATCCTTCAGAACCTTTTAAGAAGACACATGGCTCCAATTAAATAAGTACGACTTGCGCTTGTGAGCTCTACCTATTCAGACTCCAGGTAACAAATTCCACATTTCGACAAAATCATCACTACATATAAAGTTTGCCATATCAGCAACCAAGATTCCAAGTTAATTTTCCTATCCATTTAACTAACCAAAAGTTTTTGTTAGCAAGAAAACATTCGAAAGCCAAATCAAGGAAAATATGAATTTCTTTCAAGGCATCTAAAAACTGAAAAATAAAAACCTCATTACAGTGAATTAGTAAAAGACGGAAATGAGGTCAAGAAAAAGCACTATTAATGGTTGCGCATTCCATTGTAAAGTAGAGGAAGAGTATGAAAGAATATGAAGAATTACCGGACAGCTTAAGGAGCGTGAACAATGTAGCAGCGGTGAAGAAAACCATGGAGATAGCCACCCAGAAGTGCTGAAAACATTAAGTTGTCATTCAGTAACACTCATCTTTATAAATATTTAGCATATCTATCTACCTCAAAACTGAAACAGCATGTTACACTGAAATACTTTGTGCACATGATATCTATTGAGGAAAATTATAACAATAATCAATATCCTAATTCTTAGTGGCAAAAAAGATCTACATGGTTGATATTTGCCTGAGTGATGCATGAGGACTAGAGCATACATGTCACGACCCCAAACCGCCCCTAGTAGTTTAGTGCCGTGATGGCCAGTAATCCGAGATTACCGAAGGCCAACTTTCAAAATTCGCACACAAACAGAATATAAATACATATGGGACTCACAAGTGCGGAAGCAATAATTTAAAAATACAAGTGGTCCATAAGAACAGTGCGTAAGTTTCATAGAATGGCATACAACTTTACATAATATTACAACTTGGATTCAAATATAATAAGGTACAAAATACATTTTTGCATCTTGATCAAAAGGCTTCTCCAGCCGACATGTGTAAATTACAAGCGTTATAAGCCGAGAAGCATAATCTTCAAGACTGCTGACAATACAAACACTGAGACACAAACTCGACTATCTCTCTTTTCATATTCGGCCACCAAAAGGTTTGCTTTACATCTTGATACATCTTGGTGTCCCCTGGATGAACTGCAAATCTAGATCCATGAGAGTCTTGCAAAATCCTTCTTTTCAATTCTGGAACGTCGGCCACACACAATCTTCCTTCAAACTTAAGCACTCCATTCTCAAGGGTGTAACCCGACCTCGGCCTGGTGGTAATCTCGTCGGCTACCTTCTTTAGAAATCCATCCTCCATTTGCCTTGTCTTTACTTCCCCGATGGTAGTCGGCTCCACTGAAATCATGGCTAGGCATGCCAAACTTCCCACTGACTTCCTACTCAATGCATCAGCTACCGAGTTCGCTTTACCTGGATGATACTGAATCTGCATGTCGTAATCTTTCAATAATTCAAGCCATCTCCTCTGCCTCAGATTTAGTTCCTTTTGGGTGAACAAGTACTTCAAACTCTTGTGATCCGTAAAAACTTGGCAAGAGGCTCCATACAAGTAGTGGCGCCAAATCTTCAAAGCAAACACCACGGCTGCTAGCTCTAGATCATGGGTTGGATAGTTCTTCTCATGAAGTTTCAACTGACGGGATGCATATGCTATGACTCTGCCCCCTTGCATTAACACACAACCCAAACCCTTATGCGAAGCATCGCTGAAAATCTGAAATTCCTCATTACCTGACGGGAGTACAAGGACTGGTGCCGTAACTAACCTCGTCTTCAACTCTTGGAAGGCTGATTCTCTATCATCGGTCCATTCATATGCTGTTCCTTTCTTAGTTAGTTGTGTCAATGGTACTGTTATCCTTGAGAAGTCCTTCACAAACTTTCTGTAATAACCCGCCAAGCCCAGAAAACTACGAACCTCGGACACGTTGGTCGGCGTCGGCCAATTCACAATGGCTTCAATCTTGCTTGGATCAACTGATATACCCTCTTCATTAATCACATGCCCTAAAAATGAGATGCTGGAAAGCCAAAACTCGCACTTACTCAACTTGGTGTACAGCTTCTTGTCTCTCAAGATTTGCAGGGCAAGCCTCAGGTGATTCTCATGCTCAATTGTACTCTTGGAATAGATCAATATGTCGTCAATAAAAACAACTACGAACTCATCTAAATACGGCTTAAAGACTTTGTTCATCAAGTCCATGAACGCTGCAGGAGCATTGGTCACTCCGAAAGGCATTACCAAAAATTCGTAGTGGCCATACCTTGTCCGAAAAGCAGTCTTCTCAATGTCAACGGCTTTAACCTTCAGCTGGTGGTAGCCCGACCTAAGGTCAATCTTGGAAAAGACTCGTGCCCCTTGTAATTGATCAAGCAAATCGTCAATCCTAGGCAATGGGTACTTGTTCTTGATGGTTACCTTATTAAATTCTCTGTAATCAATGCAAAGGCAAAGGGTGCCATCCTTTTTCTTAACAAATAAAACGGGTGCTCCCCACGGTGAAGTGCTCGGCCTAATGAATCCCTTAGCCAACAATTCTTGTAATTGTAGTTTCTGTTCTCTAAGTTTAGAAGGGGCCATCCTATAGGGTGTTTTGGAGATAGGTTGCGTTCCCGACACGAGGTCCACAGTAAACTCTATTTCTCTATCGACTAAGTGGCCAGGCAGCTCATTTGGAAAAACGTCCGGAAATTCCTTAACAACTGGTATGCCGGCTAATTCAACACTTCTATTCAAATCACTTAGTATACTGCACAAATACCCTTGACACCCCTTTTGGATCAACTTATAGGCTTTCATAGATGAGATTAAGTAGGGTGGGAGTACTACTCCCTTACCCTGGAAAAAGACCTCGGCTTTGTTTGGGGTGTTCAACATAACGCTCTTAGTAACACAGTTAATGGATGCATGATGTGCTACTAACCAATCCATTCCCAATATGACATCAAAGTGGGTCATGCTTAATGGCATCAAATCAGCTAATAATTCTATATCTTCAATCACCACAACACACGCCCTATATATGGATGCAATAATTATAGTTCCCCCAGATGGAGTAGATACAGATAGCACATAATCAAGGGGTTCTAACGGTCTGTTCAACTTCTCGGTAAATTTAACAGATACAAATGAATGTGTAGAGCACGAATCAATCAAGACATATGCAACTTGAGAGCAGATTGAGAGTGTACCTGACACTATCGTTTCAGCATTCTGGGTGTCTTCTGGCACTAGAGCAAAAACTCTGCCCTGTCTCATTTGTGTCCTTCCGACGTTGCTTCCTTGCGCAGAGCCCGAGGTGCTCCCATTTTTCTTACCATCATCAGCTCTTGCCTTTGGACAGTCTTTCACGCGGTGGCCTATCTCGCCACATTCAAAGCAGGCTCCTGTCGCCCAGCGACAAACCCCGAGATGCGGCTTCCCACAACTCGTACACGTCGGCTTAGCATTTCCATCCCGATCTGAGTTGCTGGAACTGCCCACATTCGCCTTCTTCTTGGCATTAAACGGCATCCGACGACCTTCATAGTTCTGTCTCTTCTTCTGACTCTCTCCTGAACTTTGATATCGGTTTAAGTTAGCTTCCGCCAAGATGGCCTTGTCTAACACCTCGGCGTAAGTCGGCATGTTGAGCATGTTGACCCGATCCTGGATTGGTCCACGTAGTCCACTTTCAAACTTCCTGCCTTTCCTATACTCATCACTGACCATATGAGGCGCGTACCTTGCCAATTCGGTGAAGGCACGGTCGTGCTCTGCCACTGTTCTGCTGCCTTGTGTCAAAGTCTGGAACTCTGTGGTCTTGCGATCTCGAACGCTAAGCGGAAAATGCTTGTTGTAGAACAGTTCTAAAAATCTGGCCCAAGTTAAACTAGGATTAGCCTCCCGGATCATCATCCACCACCTTCGAGCGTCGTCGTCGTCTAATGTGAAGGCTGCTAACGTCACCTTCTGAGTGTCTGTGCTGGGAAAGATCTCGAACAGCTTTTCCATTTCCAAAACCCACGCCTCGGCCTTCATCGGCTCTATGCCCCCTGCGAATCTTGGTGGGTTCATCTTCTTGAACTCTTTAATTAAAGTCATCGTCCCTTCCCCATACAAGGCTGGCTGTGGAGGCACTTGGGGCACTGGAAGAGGTGGAGCTGCATGTCGGCCATTCGTCTGTTCGGCCTGGGTAGATGTAGCACTTGCATTCTGTTGCCTCATCTACCTCAACTCACGGGTTAAACCTTCAACTAGTCTTTCCAGTCTGTCCAGTCTATCCTCTGATTGATCTCGGCCAACTGGTGGTCTACCTCTCCTCATGATGCTATGAGTAGGCAAAATGCAACCTTAAAACAAACTGAACCAATAATCATATATGCAAATAACAAATGGTCATGCCGAGATGATGCACACCTTGTCAAGTAGCAAGCAATATGATGCAATCCTAAAATCATTCTAAGGGACATCCTATGCTCTTTAGGACTTAAAGCGTGTGAATAACGTACTATAAGGAATGCATGCTTTGATACCAATCTGTTACGACCCCAAACCGCCCCTAGTAGTTTAGTGCCGTGATGGCCAGTAATCCGAGATTACCGAAGGCCAACTTTCAAAATTCGCACACAAACAGAGTATAAATACATATAGGACTCATAAGTGCGGAAGCAATAATTTAAAAATATAAGTGGTCCATAAGAGCAGTGCGTAAGTTTCATAGAATGGCATACAACTTTACATAATATTACAACTTGGATTCAAATATAATAAGGTACAAAATACATTTTTGCATATTGATCAAAAGGCTTCTCCAGCCGACATGTGTAAATTACAAGCGTTATAAGCCGAGAAGCATAATCTTCAAGACTGCTGACAATACAAACACTGAGATAGCCGAGTTCGTGTCTCAGTGTTTGTATTGTCAATAGTTGAAAGCGGAACATCAGAAGCCGGCAGGACTTCTCCAACCTTTGCCGATTCCTGAGTGGAAATGGGAGGACATCTCCATGGACTTTGTGATTGGTTTGCCAAAGACACATAATGGAATGGATTCGATCTGGGTTATAATTGACAGGTTAACTAAGTCAGCGCATTTCTTGCCGGTTAGGACTTTGTTCAGTGCTGATCGACTTGCTGTGTTGTATATGAACGAGATCGTTAGACTTCATGGTGTACCGATGTCCATCGTGTCGGACCGAGATCCGAAATTTGTTTCCAGATTTTGGCAGAGTTTACAAAGGGCTTTAGGGACCGAATTGAGGTTTAGTACAGCTTTTCATCCCCAGACCGATGGCCAAACAGAGAGAACAATTCAAACACTTGGAGATATGCTTAGACTGTGTGTATTGGACTTTAGGGGAAACTGGGAAGAGCATTTGCCATTAGTAGAGTTCGCTTACAACAACAGCTATCAAGCTAGCATTGGCATGGCACCGTACGAAGCTTTGTATGGAAGTTAGTGCAGATCGCCGATATGTTGGACTGAAGTGGGAGATAAAGCTTTGATTGGTCCTGAGCTAGTCCAGGTTACAACCGAGAAGATTAAGCTCATTCGACAAAGGATCAAGACTGCTCAGAGTCGACAGAAAAGTTATGCCGACCAGAGAAAAAGGGAGTTGGAATTTGAAATTGGGGATCATGTATTCCTGAAGGTATCACCAATGAAAGGAGTTTCAAGATTTGGGAAGAAGGGTAAATTGGCACCCCGTTACATTGGACCGTTTGAAATCCTTGAGAAAGTTAACTCGGTTGCTTACAGACTTGCTCTACCATCGAGATTAAGTCAAGTTCATAATGTGTTTCACATCTCGATGTTGAGAACGTATATACGGGATCCACTACACGTGATCGATCATTTCGGGATTGTGGTTGATGAAGGCCTAAGCTATGAAGAAGAGCTGATACGCATCGTTGATAGACAAGTGAGATGATTGAGAAATAAGGCAATACCGATGGTGAAGATTGAATAGAAAGAGCATTACGGCAAGGATGCTACATGGGAAATGGAAGAGGAGGTGAAAGTCCGATACCCGGAGTTATTCTCGAACCAAGGTAACTCAAGTTTGGGGACCAAACTTCTTTGAGGGGGGTAGGATGTAATAACCCTCACGCTATCCTAATCATACTCATGTGCATTCATGTGATTCTGTCTTGTAAGCTTTGCGTTTCAAGTCTTGTCCTTGTTCGTTTAAGTGTTACAGCATGTTTTGTACCTTGCTTGGTGTGAGTTTAGCCGAAGTTGTCTTCAGTCTGGAATTACCTTGAAACCACTTTGTTTGACCTCCACCTTCGCCCTGACATATTGGCCGAGGTGTTCATCACCAAGGCCGAGGTGTGAATCATCTAGGCCGAGATGTTACATTTGCACCTAAGTGATCTTGTCCCGGAGTGGTATGACCTAGACCGAGGTGTGGCACATCTAGGCCAAGGTGTGGCACAGCTAAGTCAAGTGTTGTCCTTCCTGGCCGAGGTCATTGTTCCCTTACTTGCCGATGCCTTGCTGTTAGCCGAGATCATTGCCTACCGACGTGCCCATGCCATCTTGCTTATTGAACACACTTTGTCATAGTTTTGTCTTGTCACTCAGTCACCTTTTGAGTAGCACCAACCAGCCGCTGCCACGTGCCCCTGTAGAAGGTTAAGTCAGCCAACAGACCTAGAAATGTATCATTTTGTTGTATGTCCTTGTTTGTGAGGAGAGAGAAGCTCTAGAAGAAGAAGAAGAAGATTTAGAGTGAGAGAGTGGGCTTCGAGCTTGATTCCTAGAGATCAAACCATTAGATTCGCGTATTGAGGTTAGATTCTTGATTTACCCTCGTTGTTCTTATTGATCATCTAGCTGCATTGCATGATCGAACCCGTTCTGCATGTCATGCATCGATTTAAAGTTGATTTTAGAAAGAGAAAATAGTGTTCATGTGTTCTTGAAGGAAAAGTCTTGTTTGATCTGAAAGTTTGCATTAAGATTCATGTTTTTGTGTTTGTTCTCACAAGATCCTTGAATATGGGTACCCAGATCCATGTTTTTGAACTCATTGCATGAAATCTCAGATTTTGTAATAGCAAATCACGATCTTTGCATTCATCTTCCTCATGTTCATGTTCTTCATGTTCTTCAAGAAAGAGAAACCCAGATTTTTCCCCGACTTCATTCCTTTGAATGTGGCCATCGAGGCAACACCTCGGCAAGGAGGTGTGGGACCTCGGCCTAGACCTGGTAGTTGCCCAGCACGTTTTCCCGAGATAAAGAATTGTGCTTGTTTCGATTTGACTTAGTCTTGAGGAATACCGAGATCATCTGCATGCATGTGAAACTTGTTTGAAAGTGCATTCAACAGACTTTGCCATGTGTTTGTAGGGTTTGGACTTGCCTTGACCCCGACGCTTGAAGAACTAAGTGAGTGATATTTTTAATAAAGCTATGTTATAATGCTTTGATAAAGTCTTGTTTTGCTTGTTTTGGAAAGTATTTGTAAGCATGAATGGTTATTCCTAATTGGAAAATATATATATATATATCTTGTTTTGATAACATTCTTGGAAGGTCCGTACGTACTAAGGGACTATAAGCATTTGTAGCACAAAGTTTGGAAGTCCGTACGTGCTAAGGGACTATAAGCATTGGTAGCACAAAGTTTGGAAGTCCGTATGTGCTAGGGGACTCTAAGCATTAGTAGCACAAGTCCTTAGTGTCCGGGGACTATAATGCAACGACACCATTGAATTGAGATATCTCCCTTGTCTTGCCTTGTCTTGTCTTGTTTGCCACTGACGGTTTACCGCGTGAGTTTTGTTTGCCGAGATGTCATCACTTATATTATAATGATGTTAGTAAGCATCCTTTGAAACTTGACAGATTTGGAAGATAGACTTGGTTCATCCCTTGACTTGCACTAATTACGTTATGTATTGTTGATAAAGATCTTGAATACCAGTCATGCAAACCCCTTTATTTCTTATACCATTCACTGAGTATCCAAGCTCACCCTCTCTATATATATGTAGGTGATGAGCAGGAAGGCGGAGACGCCTAGGTGTGACTCGCAAGCTGTTTTGGTTTTTTTTTTGTTATGTCGGCTTAACTTGTATACATGTCGGCAGTCTTGAAAACTATGCTTCTCGGCTTATAATGTCTGCAATTTACACATGTCGGCTGGAGAAGCCTTTTGATCAAGATGTAAAATGTATTTTGTATTTCATTGTATTTGTATTCAAGTTGTAATACTATGTGAAGTTGTATGCCATTCCATGTAACTTACGCACTGCTCTTCTGGACCATTTGTATTTTTTTTAAATTATTGCTTCCGCACTTGTGGGCCCCATATATATGTTTATACTCTGTTTGTGTGTGAATTTTGGAAGTTGGCCTTCGGTAATCTCGGATTACTGGCCATCACGGCACCAAACTACTAGGGGCGGTTTGGGGTCGTGACAATACACTTCAGAAGAATCAATCTTAATTTTCAAAGACTCAAAACTTTGAAGCCCAAGGTGTTTCAGAACTATCACCAACAGAGTCAAGCCTCCAAGAAAGAAACACTTTCTTTAATGATGTAGAGGCTATAATTACAACAATAAATTTTCCCTCAATACCACCAAACTTTATGTTTGGCTAGTAACAGGATTACTCAAAAGATCAAAAGCTTCATTAAGACAACTGAATAAAAGCAAAAGAAATTACAGCAACACCAAGTCAGCTGACAACCAAAAATTTAGAGGGCCAGGTTGGGGCCTTCATATGCCTGCAAACTCCAACATGACAGTCATTCCTAATAGAACAAAAAAACAAAATCTTCACACCAGATGCCAATAAACCACCTGGATGCTGTGGGTATGGCATCTAACAATTCTTTCTATAGGAATGATGCACTCTCCTTTTCTTTTTCTTCTTCTTCTTTTTGTTATTATTATTATTATTATTATTATTATTATTATTATATTTTTTGGTATGAGAAAAAACTAAAATCAAATTCTAAGAGGATTTTCTTTAGAAGTTATGTGTTACCTTCTTCTGGTTACTAAAAGTGGACTTCCTGATAGACCGTTACACAGAGCTTGTCGTTTGATGTTTTACATTTATAGTCAAACCAGCTTGACAATTTTTGGCAAAAATTGATGCATTTATTACAATTTAATAGTAATCTATATAAAGCTAGACTATGGCATCCCATGAATCCCATGAATAGTTCTTCATTAAATCAACTAATGCAGCTAAACTTACAGGAAGCGTTTCCCATATCGCTTCATCACTTGTACTTTCATCATCTCCCGGCAATAAAGCCTTACACATTCTGTAGAAGGAAACATACAAGTTACAAGACTGCAGCAACATGATTTCATCAAGTATGAGAAATCATGTGGTGGAGAGGGGTAGGAAGTGAATGTGGGAAAAGGCAAATTTTACACTACAAGTAAACATAATACTAATAGAGGATCTAGTCTCATCGGGGACAATAGTCAATTTATTGGTTATTAATTAATTAAATTTTATTATTAATTAATCAAAAGTAATAGTGTAGTGGTAGTGATGGCAGCACCTATAGTACAAGTAAAAATATTATTACCATGTCAGAAAGAGCTGAAAAATAGTAAAATAGGATTCAAAAGAATATGATGATCATCTTATCATCACATGATAGCCCTTGATAAAGAAATAAAATAAACAAGAATCTTGCAACCAAACAAAAGAGACTTTTTTTATTGGCAACAAAAGTAACATTAACTCTCATCATTTCAGTGTGTTTTGTAATGTTTTGAAGTATTTTGGTATGTTTCGGTGAAAACATTGGAATTTTGACATTCCACTATTGTTTCCTTTTGGTTTCCTAGGAAGTGGAAATGTTTCAACCGTTTTCAACAAAAAACAAACAAAATTTTGTTCCTCGGAACATGTTAAATGACACTAGCCATTGATTTTTTGCCCTTCAAGGGAGAGAGGGAGGGAGGTAACAATGTTGCAGTTTGTCAGGCATGCTCCTGACTATAAATCAAGTCACAAAAAAAAATTGTTCCTTTCAACATCCAAACCAAATTGGGGCAAGTAAATGGGTGTCTGCCTCTCAGTCCTTGAGTAACTGAGTTAACTGATATGGTAATGTTGCAGAGATCTAATTTCATGCATCAAAATTTCAGCAGTTTATATGGTTCCAAGAAAATTTACACACACAAAGAGTACACATGTGAGATGATTTCCTAAAAACAAAATATGTAGCATGTTCAACTTATAATGACTTGGAAGACAGTAGTTAAAGCAAAAGAAGGCATGCAGAAGATATCAAGATCAATATGACATTAAAACACATGATTCGAAACTAAAATGTAACAAGAACAGTGATTACGAATTCATGCAGGAGAAAATACCTGAAATTGTCAATTAGGATGATTATTTCAAATGCCAGCAAAGGAAGGAAGACAAACTTCAAGTTTACAGCAGCAAAACCGTTGACTGTACACAAAAAAAGAAAAAGAAAAAGAAAAAGAAAAAAGAAAAAAGAACACATTAAAAAGGTCTACAAACTTGACCAATTACTACTACACATTAGAAACAGATTTCTTATAGGAGGAAATGAGACTTTTATCATAAATGGGCAAAAAACCTTACAATCTTAAAAAAAAAAAAAAAAGGACAACTAACTAGCTAGTGGCTAAAGTTTTTTGTACTATTGTGGAGTATATAAAACAAACACAATTATGCTTCAAATTTATTACAGGAAGTTCCCACGCATAAACTAATACAATGGGCCCTACAAATTTAGCATAACTACACTGTGCTCCACTTGAGATGTAAATTTACATAATGCCTATTCATTTTTACACAAAAATGCATATTTTACTCTTCATTATTGTCGTGTCCAAACATCACCTGCAATCAAACACCCATATTCCATATATGATAATATGTACTATGTACCTAAAACCAAACACACCTTCCCATCATCTCCAAAATGGACCACCACCAACTACTACCACCAATTTATACCCCCTCCCCTATCACCAACAGAGCCAACCCACCAAAACCACCACATCTTCCTTCCCCAACCACCATTGCCCACAACCACTAAAGGGCACCAAACACCTATGGCTGTGGCACCCCTAACCCTACATCCATTGGTGATCCCATGCCTTAGAGTGAAGTGGCAACAGTATCACTGAGCTTGCACCCCTCTCTCAAGCCACTGGTAGCACCAAAATCACCACTAGTACCCGCACCTCCATAATTTATTTATTTTTATCAACGCAGTGGGAGTGGGGGTTGCAGTGGATGGAATTGAAATGGAGGTTGCTATGGAGGCAATGGAGGTGAAGGTGGTGATGGAGGAGAAAATAGACAGGGAGGGTGGTGATGGCTCACAGTGGTGGAAGGGGAAAATGATGGTGGTTTGTTGTATGATGAATTTGTCATTTCACATTAATGCAATCTTAAATGCAAAAAAATATCCAAGGATAAGAAACTAATTTTAATGTCTGTCATCTCCATTTAGATCACCATTACAAGAGGGGAGGTTGGTGCAATTTTGTCAAACTAATGGGCTTGTTCCTTTTTTCCAAAAACTAGAGGGAGGTAAATATAATTTACCCTATCTTTTATTATGAAAAAGTTAGAAAAGAAGTTGAAATCCAAACCAACCAGTTGGGGTTAGGCACCCAGGTGCACTCATGCTATAGAGTGATAGTCACAAACAAAAGAGCTAGCACACACATACAAACAACAAAATTAATAACTGTGACAAGGTGTTGATTTCCTACCATCGATGCTCTCAAGATATACACAGATGAGCAGTTCGAATGCGATAAGCAATGGTGTCGCAACTATAGCATGACATGGTGCCCACTGTGAAAAAAATTGGAATCTTTATGATGCACATTCAATATAAGCTGTAAATTCTGGCATCACTAAATATGTTATTGTTTACTATAAAATGTATCTCAGGAAAAGATATTATGAAGCGTGAAAAATTACATGACGACCATGGGGAACAGACGGTGCAGGCAAAGAGAACCTTCCTCGTGCAACAACTGAATGAAAAAGCCAAAGTGGGAAGAAAATGAACCTGCAAACCAATGTCAACATTTATGATAATTCAGGAACTACAAATGGAAGACAGTTATATTCGAACCATAATAAAAACGTTTCAGCTCCAATGTTGTCAGTGTCTCAAGCATCCAACCCACATTGTGACACTAGAACAATTATATGTTCAAGCACACAAGGAAAATCTTCCAACAAAATTTACACTCAAATTCATCAATGTTGCCACATTCACGATATTGCTAGGGGTTAAAGAGTTCACAGCATCCTAATTAGTAAATTGAAAGTTCGGTGAGCCTATCCAATGAATGACTAAGTGAACAAACCTCAACATAAATATATACACATATAAAAGAAGGTTCACCTCTTTGCATGTTGCTCAACAAGAATTAATCATTAGTCACAACATAAAATTACACTAATGTTTGAGAAGGTTCATATGGAGGTACACGTGTTTGGTGCACTTTTATTGAGAAGAATATAGTCACACATGAGGGCAAGTGTTGAGAACATACATAATAAAGTTACCATTCTCTCTAACAGCTTGTACATTTACCTAAAATGGTGATCAACAAATCAATAAATGGGTGTGTCTAAAACAAGGGTGAAGAAGTCAGGTTTTATTGTTAGAGATTGGCATGGTAAGCCCATATTTGGCGCATCAAACAATTTATAACAACAGGCAATTACAAATGGAATCTCATAAGGGTGGAGGTTTGGTATTGATTTTGATGAGATCTTCGATCTCGTGAAGCAACGCAAGTCCATTAGGTTGTTATTTGTTGTTGTCTGTCATTTAGAATTCCACGTTGTATCAAATGGATGTGAAAAGTTCTTTTCTATATGGCATTCTTTATGAGGAGGTATATGTGAAGCAAATTGAAGGGTCTGAAGACCATCACTGTCTTGTTCATGTCTAACACTCCATTTGGATAGTGGGGTGAGAAAAGAAAACAAATGATTGAGAAAAAAATAAAAAAAATGATCGTGTATTCTCACTATTATGTAACTTATGAAAGCAAAGCATGTGAGAGAGGGATATGGTTGAGTTTTTTTTTTTTTTTTTTTTTTTTTCTTCATTGGTATTTTAAGAGTATTATAAATATTTTATAACCAATGAGCTTGTTTCTCACCAAATTTCACCACTTTTGGTGAGAAATGAAATGAGCAAAATAAGAGAGTTCTCTTTCTCATCATTTCTCCCATTTCTCACCTAATTTATAAACCAAACATGATAGAGTTCTCCTTCTCATCATTTCTTATCAATTCTCACCAAATCAACCCATCCAAATGGAGTGTAAATGTTAAAAGAGATGTTCTATGGTCTCAAGCAAGCACAAAGAGCTTGGTATGAGAGATTAATGAAACTATTTTTCATATACATGCTTTGTCTAAGATAGACAGACAGGGCATTGTTCAATTGTAGAGTTGGGGAGACATTGACATTGCCCAAATTTATGTGAAGGACATAGTTTTGGTTCCACACCTAACTAGCTTGCTTATTATTTTGAAGGACAAATGAAACATGAGTTTAAAATGCACATAATTGGTAAGGTAAGCTAAATTACTTATTGGGGCTAGGTTAGACAACTGAAGGAACCGGTATTCTTGTCTCAATCCGCATATGCAAAGGAGCTTGTGAAGAAGTTTGGTTTTGAGATACTAAAGCTCCTCAAACTCCTAAGCCCATAAGTGTCGAGCTTAGCAATGATACTAAGGGCAAGAATGTTGTTGATCCAAAGCTCTATAGGAGCATAATTAAAGTTTGTTTATATCCCAAGCTCCATGGTTTTTCACTTGAAGAGAGTTGTCTTCAAGGTTTTCCATGATGAAAAATAGTTGACTCTCTTTTATATATATCTGTATCTGTGTGTAGATTCCTGTGAGTTTATTGAATATCATTATAATAAGAAATGTTGAAAACTCAATTTTAATTGGTAATCTTCCTTACCAGTTTGGCATATTCACCCCCTAACCCCAAGGAAAATTTGACGCTGATTGTTATGGACTAAACCCTGCAGAGATATCCTTGCTTACCGCTGGACCAGCCCCCTTGACTCTAATAATTATAAAAATTTAAAGTGTATTCAAGAAACTTCAAAGAAGCTAGTGAGAACCATGTCAATCACTACATTTTCCTTATTGCAATGGTTCTCACAAACACCAAAAGTGCATGGTTAAGACCGAAATCCATAGACACAACTTTGTACCAAGCGATGAGCAGTTGCAAAGCCAAGAGGCAGCCTATAGAAAACGGTTAAAAGCCGAACCAAGGACAATTATATACTAAAAAGGTACAAAATAGGAACCTTCCAATGTTCTCCGCTGACAACAAACAAGTATGCATAACCTTAAATATTATGAAACAGCATTACACCTTACCCTTTAAATTTGACACTTCCATTTCTCTTAAGCAATCCTACTCTAAACTCGTAATTTTTCACCCCAATTCAATTATCCCATAAAAATTCAAATGAAACCCATAAATTTTCAGATTTGTTTCAGACGACTAAACTAGGAATTCCCTCAGTCAACAATTTGTGAAAATCCAATTAACCCTTTGCTATAGGAAAGGGTTAAAAGCCCTACCAATGATAATTATATAATATATAAAAAAATAAAAGAAGTATAAACCTCAAGTATTGTGAAACAACATTACACCTTATCCTTTATATTTGACACTTCCATTTCTCTTACACTTTATTCACCCTTCCATTAATCTTCTTCCATGAATATGTGGTAAAGGGAAAGGGAAACTAATTCAACACCTATGCACACAGGTATTTTCTCAACCCAATTCAATAATCTTATAGATAATTCAAATGAAACCCAAAAAATTTCAAAACTTGAGTGAACTAAAAATTCATTCAGTCAACAATATATGAAAAACCCAATCGAGCTCGAATCATATAAACCCATTAAGATGTAATAAAACACAGGTATTTCCTCAACCCAATTCAATTATCTCATAGATAATTCAAATGAAACCCAAAAAATTTCAAAACTTGAGAGTGAACTAAAAATTCATTCAGTCACCAATCTATGAAAAACCCAATTGAGCTCGAAGCATATAAACCCATTAAAATTTAATAAAAATAGAGTTTGGAAGAGCTGATACAGACCACCAAGAGTAGTCGACGGTGTGATCGAGCTTGAGAACGAGCAAGATTGTGAAACAGAAGAGGAAGGTGTGGGCAGCGAGGGCTTGCACCGACTTCGCGACTCTTCGCCAGTTCATTGCTTTCCTCCCAAGCATAAAACGTAAAAGGGTTTTTTGAAAACACAACTTCAAAGAAATCTGTGTATTTGTAACAGTGAGACTCGATCTTTGGATTGATGGGTTGAATTGAGGAGAGAGAATTTAGAGTAGGAGGAGGAAGAAGAAGAAGAAGCTAGAGAGAGAACGAGAGGAGAGAGAGAGAGGGTGGTTTTGGTTTTGGTTTCATTCATTCAGAGGCGCCATTAAAGATGTAAAAAACAAAATAATCAATTACTCTCAAAATAATAATCAATTACTCTCAAAATAATCAATAAAATAATCAATTACTCTCAAAACAATCAATAATAATCAATTACTCTCAAAATAATCAATTACTCTCTTTCTATCTTTCTCTTTCACTTTCTTTTCTTTATTTTCACTTTCTTTTATCGGATATATACAATCAAATTCTCGCCCATCACTATCTCTCTCATGGTCGCTTTCGTTTTCTCTCTCTAACGTAGATTACACTTCACGCTAATTTGGATGATTTTTGTTTTTAATACTACAAGGCCCCGTTTGTTTGGGGAGATAGAATGGAAGGGATTGATAATGAGGAATTGTTAAATTATTTTTATATAAAATAATAAAATAAATAAAAAATATAAAAAATTAAACATTATATTTAAAAAAAAAATTCCCAATATATAAAAAATAAAAAAATTTCTAATCCCCCACTATTTTCTAATACCATCTCTACCTCCTCCTTACCAATCTCCCTTCCAAGGGTATTAGCAATACCAAGGGACTAATAGTCCCAAGGCTTTCTCTGCAAACAAATAAGGGCTTTAGTATTACCAAGGTATTACTAGTCCCAATACCCTCCTTATGGCCCAAAACAAACGGTTTTGTTCGGCCCACAGGGGCCATCACGGGTCTCATTTTGATAATCTGAACCGTTCAATGTGTATAACTCGTCGAGTACTATGTATTTATTAAAAATCAAGTTGATCGGATATTGATAGCTATTTGATGAGATTTATTTTTTTTCAATCGTTAATTATAATACCATCCATTTTTTATACAAAACTGGTTTAATCATGTAGTTATCGATATCCGATCAACTTGATTTTTTACAGACATATAATTCTCAACGAGTTCTACACATTCATCGGTTCAGATTATCAAAACGAGACCCGTGATAAGCTCCCATGGGCCAAACAATAGTGTGTTCAATTGCATTCAATCTGATCAGATTTGTTCGGCCACACCGCACGGGAGCAGTGATTGCTTAACTCACTCACTGAGTTGTACTTGGGTTGGAAAATTAAGTTTTTAATATTTTTTTTTAAATAGTGATAATTTTTTAACTTTTTGAATAATTTTTTGACTTTTTAATTTTTTTGAGAGTTGTCAAAATTAACCTTAATTTTCCTATTCTACAAAATTGAAAAAGATTATAAATAGTATATGGTTAGAGATCAAATTACCCTTTCTTAAATTATCCCTATTTTCGTATACTTTACATAATGATGAAACTTTTTTAGGAAGATTTTTTTAAAAAATTTATATGTACTAATTGATATATTAATTAGTGTATCAATATATATTATGACATTATAATTTTAAAATTATGGGCCGTATCTATTATACAAAATATAAAGATCTAAAACCTCTAAAATTATATCACATCATCTGTTAGTATACTAATTAGTATATCAATCGGTGTGTATAGCTTTATTTTTCGACTAATGTTATATGCACCAAATAGTACACTGGAATGTACCAATTGATGATGTGGCATAATTTAAGATATTTTTTGTATTTGTAATTTATATAATGAGTATGGTCAATAATAATGTCATAATTAGTATTGGCACACTAGTTAGTACACTAATTGGTGCATATAGTACACTTTTATTTTTGTAATACTTATATACTAATTTATCCAAGTTAATTTCTAATAACCCATTTAGGCTTCGTTTGAGATGTGAGTTGACTTTTTGATTATTTTTTGGCTCTTTTGGGAAGAGCTAAAAGCTAAAAGTCAATTTTTAATCCATTTAAGGTCACATCACCTTTCACGTTTTTTATACATTTTTTCAAAAAAAAAATTAAAAAATTTGCTTTTAACCATCTTTTAAAAAAAAATATTTTTTTGACTTTTGTGAAAAAAAAATATAATGATTATGATTTAAATATAATAACTTTTAGCCTGAAACTAAAAAAATTATTTTATCAACTTAACCCAAACTCACATGTCAAATGAGCACTTAATCTTATAGCTATGCAAAAGACCAAAAACCTAAACTCTAGATTTAGCACCAAAAAATGGTAACTAAAAATCTATATTTTAAGAAAAAATCACTCCAATTTGAACACTTACCCCCATTTGAATTGGAATTTATATATTAGGAGAAAATCATAAAATCTAATGAGTATTTTATTTAAAATCTTACTCTTTTAAAATTATGGAAGCTAATAAATATTCTACTGTCACACTTTTTTATTATCTGAAAATTTTAAAGGGAGATTTACTAATAAATCTCAAAATTTGAACTTATGAACCAGTTGGTCCCATTTTTATTCTACTAAACCGTTTAATCCCATTCAATTGTGAGGGACGTAATTACCCTCATTTAACCGTTATTGATGCGGCTGTTAGGGGAAAATTGGGTGTGGTACATGTGTGTCTCACGTGCATAATTAGTGAATGGATGTGTGGTTTGTTACAGGTGATTCATTGTGAGGGTGTCACAGAATGGCAAAGCACTGTAAGGGGTTTTTGTTTTGGGCTGGGTTGGTATGTTTGGGGGTTCACACAGGTAAACACACACGCATTCACAACACACACTCAGGATCGAGATGCATACACATTGATAGATTTGAACACACACCCAAGGGACCATTGACACACACACGGTTGAGGGAGGGAGAGGATTACACCCAGCAGCCTCAGCATCTCAGCATCTCTGCATCTCTATACTCACACAAGCAGATCGAACACATCGAATCATTGATTCCACCGCCTCGATCCTTCGAGAATGGAAACCTAGGGTACGAATTGATGACCGCTTGATCAAGCCCTACGACGGCGTTATTGTTGTCTTTGTTGTCGTCTTCAGTGACGAAGATTATGCGGGGGAGGATGATGCCGTTGTCGAAAGAAGTTGTGGTGGTGGTGGTGGAGCTAGGGTTAAGGTTTTGGCGGCGGCGGCGATGGCGGAGGCAGACGTATGAGACGAGGAGGAGGGTGGAGAGGAGGACAAGGAAGCCGAGGGTGATGGCGATGGCGTAGCTGAGGCCGAGGCTGGTTAGGTAGTTGGTTGTGGAGTGGGGACGGCGGTGGTGGTGGTGCGCCGCCGGGGACGGCGGCAGTGGTGGTCACACACACACTGTACACACCAAACCCAGCTCTCTCTTCTCTCTCTAAGACACACACACTGCTGTCTTCAACACACCCACCCACACACACACAATGATACACACACACAGCACACAACGCACACAGTACACACGGAATGAGCAACGTTTCCAAAAAAGGAACTGATCCAGCAAAACAGTCCCACATTAAACCAAGAGCACTCTCGTTCACACAGTTAAACAAAAATGGAAAAAAAAAAACAAAAAGGACCAAATCAACCCACCAGCAGGACTATTTGGTATAATAGAATAAAAGTGAGACTATTTGGTATAACAGTTTGTAAAGTAGGATTTATTGGTAAATAATCCAATTTTAAAACAACGCAACAAAAAATTTAAACAAAAATTAAAATATAATGTAAATATTCACAGTAAATAATAAGTATATACAACTAACCTTTGAAAAAATAAAACACATATCAAAATAGAATGTGAATGTTCACAATAAATAACAAATATATTACTAACATTCAAAAAATAAAACTTATACCATTTGTCAATTACATATTTTAGCTAAAAAGTTAAAAAGTCACTATAAGTTATCATATCACTCTCTCTATTTTTCTGCACATCTTTTTGTGAAAAGTCAAAAAATTACTAAAATAGCTTGTTCCCAAACGAGATGTGAATGTTCACAGTTTACAATTAACATACAACTACCGTTAAAAAAAACTAAACTCATATCAATGTGAACATTCACACTACAACATAAAAACATAAAACAGAATTGAAAAAAAAAAGTGAAAATTAACTATTTCAATTGTTCAGTTATAACAAAAAATGATTGTTTAATCAACAAACATAGTAACAAAAACAACAAACATACAACTAACATTCAAAAAAATAATATTTAAACCAAAATATAATGTAAATGTTCACAATTTACAATTAGCATACAACTAGCCTTAAAAAAACTAAACTCATACTAATATGCACATTCACACTGCAACGTAAAAACACGAAACAAAATTGGAAAAAAGTGGAAATCTACTATTTCGATTGTTCAATGGCAATATATAAGATTATCAAATAGTTCATATATATTAACGCACCTTATTTGAAAAATCTATATATAATCAACTCCAGCATAATACAAGTAAATAAACTACACAATATCAATGACTACACAAACCGACGAAGCTACTACGATTTATGTATAACAATGGAAAAAAATGATTGTTCATCGCCGATTTACCATCACTTTATTACGAGTCCATTATCATCTCTATCATCAGTTTACATGTACAATTAACCTTCTCTTCCAAATGTTCTTCCATAGCAAGATCTTATTGTAAAATAATGGTGAAAGAAAATTTTTGATAACGTGAGTCCCTCACGTTGAGGCAAATAAAACACTAACAACAATAATTTTATAGATGTATATACAATATTTTATATATATCATAAATAAAATATATATATATAATAAATGATTTTGTGTCTCCTAGATATGTGATATAATATATATGCATATTATAATAAATCTATAAGAGTAAAATAGTCCATATAATATATAACGATTTCGATTTTGACCCAATCCATCTTGTATTATGGACTCGGGTTTTATGATTTTTGAATGTTGTTCATGTCTTTTTCCGCTTATTCATGCTTGAGTTTGGCTATTGGGTTGTAATGGTTGTGTTTGGAATAGGTTGGTTACTTGGTTTTCAAACCTTATGTTGCCCAGATTTTTGCTTTTCCGCTTGAGCGGTACTTCTTGCGCTCGAGTGGGCTTTGTGAACTCTCAGTACTTTTATTGGTCTGCAAAGCTACTAGGAGAGTGTGTTCTACGCTCGAGCGGCGTTTCCTATACTCGAACGCGTGGACGCTCGAGCGATGTTCATTTATCTGCAAAACTATTGGATGTGTGTATTCTGCGCTCGAGCTTCATTTCCTGCGCTTGAA